ACACACTGAACTTGATGAGCCTTAACTATAAATTCCCTCGTCGTCTGTAACTGTAAGAAATAGACATTAAACCAAGCGGTTCTACCGGTAGTATAAAAATTCACTAAAGAAATTTAAGTATTTCCTGATTTGCTGCTGATTGGCTGAAAAAAGTGTGTGACACTCAAAACTTCGATGAGTCTTAAATTCCCTCGTTGTCTGTAACCAACTCTTTACCAATTTTCAATCAGAGACGTAAAATTTCTTCACCACGGTATTGGTAATTCGATTTCAAAATGGACTGGGGCCGCCAATCGAATCGACGAAGCAAAATCGACGGAGTAATCGACGGACCGAAGTAGCCAATGAAATTTTCGAAAAGTAACCTTTCGACTAATCAAGTTGCAGGCGTATCTGGTGCATTGCCAAGCTTCTCCATTTCACAAGGAGTTCAACATTGTATCGGACAGGAGTCACAGTGAGTATACTACCGGTAGTATTAACTGTAAGTCTCGAGATTTCAGGCGGATTTGACGTCGTCATTCGACGAATCTACCGAAAATTCCAAATTTAGCTTGAAAGCACAATATGATCTCTCGATTCTACGTCTATACTAGTACTCGCTAAAATTTTGAGATATGAAAACGAAATACTACGTACCGGTAGTAGCAGCAAGAAAGTTTTGTGAAAAGTTGGTAACGTTAGTTTAGGGTGCGTCTGGTAAACGGAAATATTGCAATATTCAGGCCCAAAACGCCATTTTGGGGCAGAATTCACGTTGCTTGAAGAGTTTACAGTAACCCAAATCCAATAATTCAAGTGTTGAATAGGTCCAAAACGCCATATTACAAAATGGACCTTTTACCTCCATTTTGAAAATGGCATTTTGGTTATCCCATTTTACAAATTTTACCAGACGCACCCTTACTGTATACGGTAGGTGACATGCACCACCAAAACGTTAGTAAAAAGAAAAAAAACAAGGTTGCTGATCAGCCAAGATGAATTTGTTTTTGAGCTTTACCAATGGGAGCGATTGTGATCGGTTTGGTCGAGGTGATTCGATTGGACGGGGTTCGGAAATTCGTACCAAATCAATACTATTAATAGTAATATTAATAATAGTTAAAGTGATTACGATTCAAAAACTACCAAGAGCGAGCCCAATGCAACCGCAAACGCTTGGAGAGGTGAACAAGGGGAGCAAAAGTGCACAACCCAGCTCTGACCGCCAGAATCTCGTCCGAATGAGAGCACCACGTCAAGGGTGTCCAGCGCTACTAGCTCGAAGCTCGCGTGGCAGTCAAAGGACGCGCCGGCCAGTTGTCGAGAGGTTAAGAGGTGCGTCGAGCATGCACCCAAACAATCACCGTGAGACCCGATCACCACCAGCATGTTGTGGCTCTTCAGAATAGGTGACATGGTCGTTTGGACGATCGCGAGCTCGGACGTGGGGGATTCGGCTGTGTGGAGGGAGAAGTCGGTGCTATTGACCGTGCGAATATTATGTGCAATTGGGGTGGAGGTATTGAAGGGGCAGAAAGTGTGGGTCACTTGTGCATCGATGTGGCCAAATTGAGTGGCCGTGCACAATACGACGTCCGAGTCGGGCATGACGAGGGAAAAGAGGCCCCTGTGAAAGTGGATGTCGCATTGAACCCCTCCCGACGACGGCGGCGACAGGAGGAAGCGGGTCATGATTGGGACATCGCATTGGGAGGCTGCAATCAGATTCAACTGCCACGTCATGTCGACGGAACGGGCTTGGTTCGATGATGCGACTGGTAGATGGAGCGCGGGTCTGTCCAGACAACATGGACACGTGTCGCTCTCCACTGCCCACTGTTGGATGCAGTCGTTGCAATACGCAAAACCACAGCATGGTACAGCTGTGGGGGGATATTGGAGGGTCCTTTGGCACAAAAAACACTCCATCGGTGCTCCCAGAAAGTTGGCAGTGCCGTTCTTTGCCACGAGCGACCAATCTTGGTTCCCGACAGAGTTCCATTGCATCATCGGATCGTCGTTCCATGTCTCGTTTGCCCTGTCAAGAGCATCGCCATCCTTCGTGCCAGGGGAGGTATCTTCGTCAATCATGATCCAATCGTCATCGCCATTCGGATGCATCAGCACTTGCGCAACTACTGCGGAGTTCATGGCAAAATGCACAGTGAGTTTCATCTTCGATGACCATGTCGTTTGCGTTGATAAAATACAAACATTTGATTGGTTCGTCAACAAGATGCATCGTTTTCATTGGTCGGATTGACTCATATATTTTGGCTAGATGTCTCTTCACTGGATTTCAGAGCGATTGGTGCTGGAACACAATGGCCAAGAACCAATTCGCGCGGCGTCGAGAGGATGCTGTGACGACGTACCATTCGACGTCGTGGTGGCAACGTGTGAAGTTCATCCGGCAAGGCCCTTGCAATAATAACGTTCCCTTCGCTCTTCCATTTTTGTCGCATTTCGCAGGTTTCGGAAAGGTTTCACATACAGTACTAGTAACTGTATCAACGATATTCGCGGTATATAGCTGCCTGTACACGTCGAGTTTCAGCCCACTCAAAGTCGAAGGGAATACGCGCACCAGCGTCACCCCACCAGTGCCTTATAGCTCGAACGACGCCTTCGACAATCAACTATTCAATAAATCGGCAATGTTCATTATCATACAAGTATGTAGGCGGTGGCAATGCTGGGATGCCAATCACTATGCAGAGGGATGCTGTGTAACGTTACTTGAAGGAACAGCCAGCCTGCATCGTGGTGTTAGCAGCATACTGCTCATCCAGGTTGCCACGTGTAGAAAGTTGCTCGTACATCAACACTTTCGATTTTGAGGGTACCTACACTCGAAGATTTTCATTCATGTGAGTGAAGGTCCGATTCTTTTCTTTTGTCAGTGAGTCATCATTTTATATCTGCTGACGAACGACCATGGGACGCAAAGGCCCACCTCGACCCACCCGCAGGGACGAACGACAACAGCAGCGTCAAGACGATGCCAAAGCGAGAAAGCGCGACGCTTCACTGGCCGAGCGTGCAGCGCTGGCACTAGGGCAGTTCCAGCGAGCAGCTACCATGCCCGAGACGCGGGCTGGCCGACTAGACTTGCGACGTGCTCTCGCGGAAAAAGGCCTTGTGTTGCAGCGCTATGGGGAGCCACATGCAAATGACAAGCTCGGACGAGGAGATATGTGTACACTGATTAGCTCACAGCATGACGAAAGTTTCGATGGCTTGGACGAAGGAACTTCCGAAGAGGATATCGTAGCGGACGAAGCACCCGATACTGCTGCAAGGCTTTATGAGTGCGCGACAACCCTCGAAGGAAGTAGCGGTGATGATTGGATTGACCTCGTCGATCCTTTTGGCGACGACCTCGTATTTCTATAGTTAGTATACTATGGTGACATGTCAGTGGTTCTCGTTGACTTTTGCGAGGTTGTCGCTAGCTCGTTGCCGCTTCATTTCCAATTCCCTACGGTATGGAAGGAAACGATGCTAAAAATAGATGCGATATCTATGAGCGAGCTATTTATGACCGAATAAATTGGTACTCCAATTCTCATCTTGACATGCCGCGAAAGGGGCCGCCCAAGTCAACCCGTCGCGACGACCGCGACAAAGAACGCCAGAAGGCAGCTGGCGAGAGGATGCGGGCCGAACAAAAGGAAGAGCGATCCAAGCAAGCCCTTCGTGACTTTCATACACACAAACCAGAGATGCCTGAAACTCGAGGTGTCCAACGGGACCTACGGCGCGGCTTGGCCGCCCAAGGACTCGATCTGGAGCGGTACGGTGACTCCGAGTCCCAGCGGCTAGCACGAGGGAACGTGATGGAGAAGTCGGAAGTAGTCGGTCGCGCCGTTCCCCGTGGATTTGCCTCGTACGATGATGCCACAGCAGACGACGAGTTTGGATATGACTCTTCATAATGAAATGATGATGATGAGTGCAAAGGTTGTGAAAATACACGAACTTGTTAGATAAAAAATATTACTCCTAGGCCCGACTACCAAAATCGAAATATGCTCCTTAATCAAAGGTCACGAGGTGCGAGTCCATGCTGCTGAGGGCGATCGCAAACGCTTGCACGGGCGAGAACGGGTGGCGGTAGTCCATCGAGTACACTTGTCGGTCCGATGTCCGCCCAAACAGCATCATGGTCTTGTCCATGTCATCTGGGTGCGACAGCAAAAAGTTCTTGACCGATGCCGCCGCCACACGGCCACCAAAGTCCAAGCAATACGCTTCTAGGGATTCGATCCACACGGGGGGCTTGTTGATGAGGTTGATGGCGCGGTGTCCGTCTGGGCGGTCGATTTGCGCCAGCATCGAGTCGTCCCGGGAAGATGGCGTGTACTGGTCGACACCCCACGCGTTCAGTTCGTCCGCCGTGGACGCCAATGCGCGGCGGGAGACGGTGGGTAGCGCCACTCGCATCTGCCGAGGGGTCTTGCCGAAGGTGGCGGCGTACTGCACGGCGCCGAGCTCCGTGTTGTGCTCCTCAGTCGTGTTGAACACGGTGTACTGGGACCCGACAAAGTTGCGCTCGAGGCGGGCGATGGTGGCGTCGGCGGCGCTGGACGCATAGATCGAAAATGTCACGCTCATGTCGAGCTGGCGTCGGCGCACGGCGGTGCAGAGCAGCACGTCCGTGTCTTGGGTGTACAGTTCGTAGTTGCCGCTGCCCCGGGTGCGGATGTAGCACTGCGTGATGAGCGCTTCGGGGGGCGACGGGGCGACGAGGAAGCGAGTCATCATCTGGGTCGTCAGGCGCGCCGCGGCTAGCAGGTTGGCGCGCAGGGCCACGTCGGCTGGCGGAGGGGGTTCCAGCGGCGCATCGGCGCAGGTGTCCATGTGGTCTTCCAGCACCGCCTTCTTCATGTTTTCCGAGCAGTAGGGGCAGGGCACAGTCATCTCGTTGGCCATGCGCTGGCAGTGGCGAGAAGTCGCGAGCTGCGCAATGCTGAGCTCGTCGCGGCACATGGGGCACGAGCTGCGTTCGCTGACCCACCGTTCAATGCACAGTTTGCAAAACACTTGGCCACAACACAGTGCTTCGGTGGCACCGGTGAAGATCTCCTGGCAGATGGCACACTCGAGCATCTTGCGTGTGTTGTCGAGCACTTCGAGTTGCTCGTCGCGGGGCATGGGGTTGGCTGGGTACGCCACGGACGACACGAGGTTGGACGCAGCCAGCGCTGATGCGGCGGTGCGCTGGCCCATGTGCCGGGACTTGAGCGCCGTGTGGATCTCGAACAGCATGTCCACGACCTCGGACACTCCGGTGGGCCGACCTTGGCGGATTTCATCTTGGTTGTCCTCGACAGTGGTCACGGTGGTGGGAGTGTCGATGATGGCGTTGGCTTCATCCTCAACATCCTCGAGCTCCAAGTCGATTTCATCGTCGTCGACGGACATGCGATCGCTAAAGACTTGGTCATCCAAGTCTTCCAGCAACGACGTCTGGCCGCTATGGCTCCGGAACATCTCGTCAGGCGACTCGCTGTCTTCCACGACAATTAGTGATTGCTCCATGGAAGGGCCATCAGGTGCCGCGCTGTACATGGGATTCGACGAGAGTAAGTCCACCATACCGTCGCCTTCAGCAAACGACGTGCTCACTTCAATGTCCATGTCAAAGCGAGCATTGCGAGGCGTGACACGCGGGCTGTTGCGTGGGGACGTGAAGACCAGCTCGCTCAAGGTGCGCGTGCGAAGCATCTTGTTGCTGTTGCTGCGACGGGGCTCTGTGACCACACGCAGGCGGCGCGCAAAGCGGGCTGGCGTATGCGGATTGGCGCTGTCGTCCCAGCGCTGCATGCTAAAGTTGAGAATGTGTTGTCTTGTGGTTACAGGTACGGTTCCGATTCTGAGGCAGCAGAGAGTTCTTCACACGCGAAAATGGAAGATTGGACTGGCGCGGAAGGACAGAAGAAGAGAGCGATGGAACGTTTGCTTTGAACCTCCGAATGCAGAATGAGCTGACCAATATGAACAGCCATTACATACAAAAGTCCACATGTTTGAATCCCTCTGTGCGCAATTCCCCTACATCAGTACCTAGATCTATCCGGATACCATGTTCCCATACACTCCACAAGAGTCGCCCCGTCTATCCGGATATTCTGTCCTGTCTGGCCATAGACTGACTGAACAAGGCAATTACGAATCCAAGGGCAAGACATTTTGTTTTTCGATTCGAAAATCTTTCTCATGGCGAGGTAGGCTGCTAAAATGTATGGTATCGCGCAAAAAAACATTATTTTCAATCGACTATATTCTGTTGACATCGTCCTCTGAATGTATACTCTGATAGCGAAGCGGTGGAGAGGAGTGTTTCCCATCGAGGTTGCGGTAAAGGCCATGGCGCCCTTGGACGCTGTACCGCGGAAACTTGGCCGATGAAAGGAAGGATCGTGGCTCTCCCACTTTGACACGGACTCGCTAGTAAAGTGGGATGGATACCAGTACAGTAGAGTGATTTTGCAAATGGGAATATTCCAATGAAATGATCCAATAATTCTAGCGTTATTGGAATATTCAAGTGGCCACGAGATATTGCAAATCAGGAATTTTCACATTATTAGCCATTTCCACTCCTTGGAACACGGACTACCAGTGCCATTTGAGTGCTGCACGCGTTATCGTCGAGTGGGGGAGTGGGGAATACCTCCTTTATGAGATTTACGTCACTTTTCGGGTCGTGAAGCGATGGGATCGCTTCGTTTGGTGATGACCAGTTGGACCTGCTGCTTTGACATCGAATGGTTGTGAGTGAGTGTGTAGAGGTTTGTCCAGTCCGAATTTCTGACTGAAAATTTATTTAACGTAAAATTTTCAGTGGGTGCACCGAAATGTCTCACTGGAAAATTGCATTGGAATATTCCCATTTGCAAAATCACTCTACAATGTACCGGTACTTCAAGTAATTGACTCATCGCCGATGATGCCCGCTTGAATTGTTTTCAATGAGCGGCACATCAATTTGATTGATAGCTTGACTGAAGATGCCTTGGGCAGATTTCAGAATGGCGTCCCAACTTTTATGCCAGTGCGGCAAATGTGCGCGTCGTTGCGCTTCGGAACCGTGGCGGCCCAACACAATGTCCACGACAACTTCCCTTGCTGATTCCTTCGGTATGCCAACCTGCATGGCAAAGTGCTCCAAGTCCAAGCATAGTCCATGAAGCCCCGACGAATTGTCCACTACGATTCCGCCTGTCATGCCCAAAGAAGTACCAACGAACGGAGGGTGTACATGCAAACTGCATCGCAGCGGCGTCTGATGGGTTGCTATCAGCTGGGCTCCCCGCTTGAGGCAATGAAACTCGTGTCAGTAGCGTGCCCGGCGACCCGCAAACTTTACTCACCTAAGACGTCCCATGAGTGTTTGTGTTTGGTGTCCGTTTTACGTACTCGTTCATTGCCCACGCCTGCCAAGATGCTCACCAGAGCTTTGGTGCCAAGGTTTAACGCATGTTTGATCTGGATCCCAACTGAGGCGAGCTGTGATGGTGGCATCGCCAATATGACCACGTCGCTCTCTTCTGCGAGTTTAGCATTGTCGTTGTATCTAACATGGCGTCATGACGATGAACAAAATAGCATTGCCGTACCGAGCGACTTGACTGTCCACTCTTGACATCCACCGTGGTTCATGAGGTTGTCGCGACGATATGGCGAGGTCACATGCAGGCCAATTCGCAGCAAGCAGTGTGTTCGCGATCTCAACTCCAACGCGCCCACCGCCAATGATACCGACTTTCGTGGGTGATGATTCAACTCGGGTACTGGAAGCAAGCAATCGCAGGCGATGGGCGACGAGTGAAAAGTAAACACATTGGTTTGCAATGTGGCTGATGACACTGGTCCTGCCATTGTACAACGGCTGGATGCGACTAGATAGACGTCGGGGGCTGAAAAGATGCGGGTCCAGCTTGGTGATCTCGTTCGCGTAGTCAATGCTCGTGTTGAAGTCCATCGCACGGCCAGCGCGTTGACCGTGGTTTTGTAACCGCCACATAGTAACGGCTAGGGTGGTGTATCCGGATACCGGATAAGGATGTGGGAGCTGGGCCCAAATCATCATTTTTGTTTCCGCGCTTCCAGCACCTTCGTCGGCGGCATGCGCTACTTGATCAGCGGGGCTTCCCTGCACAATACGAAATCTCTCGGAGGATCCCTCGGACGCACATTACTTGGTCTGAACAGTCTGGCGACCACTCATGCATGGCAAATCGTGTCACGTCGGGCTGACGAAGCCGACATGTTGACGAGGCAGTTGAAACTGAGCTTGGGCGCTAACGTTGCTTCCTCCTTCAATTCCGTGGTGCATGGCTCTCTTGTGCCAAATCATGCTGAGAACATCGCGAAAGAGTTTAAATCCGCAAAGGCGACGGGGCTTGTGCTCCTTCCAAACGCCATCGAACCCTCCCAGTGGAGTGAGTCGCAGGCATTGTTGGCGGCGGCAAAGTTTGCCAACTTGCAGCACATCATTTTGATTTCTACGTATGCCTCGCATGCTTCGTCCTTACTTCCGAGCGGTGTGGCATGGGCGGCACTGGAAAAAGAAGCCGAGGAGACAAAGATCCCGTTGACAATCATTCGACCCACGACCTTGATGCAATCCATGCTCAACGGCACTTGGGGCGAAAGCATTTGCGGCCGGAACTTGTCTGTCTCGATGAATCGGGCGCGCATCTCGTTTGTGCATTCGCTGGATGTGGCCGAGGTCGTCAACCACACGATGGCCAAGCCGGCGTCACCCTCCACGACACTCCATCTTACTGGCCCCGAAGCTCTGACTTGGGACGAGGTGGCTTCTACGTTTTCTCGTCACTTGGACTCCCCCGTGCGGCTGTCCAAGGTGCCCTTGTGGGTCGTCCAGCCCTCGTTGTGGGTTCGAGGTACAAGTGAGCACCCCACTCGAACATATTGTTTCACTGGACGTTCGTAGGCAAAAACCCAGATGAAATCCGTGAAATCATCAACTTGTCCAAGTACTACGAAGCTGGGGGCGAGTCCGAAGTGACGTCGACGGTGGAGTCCATCCTCGGCCGTCCGCCCATCTCGTTTGAGTCGTTCGTGGTCGCCAACAAGTCGCAGTGGCCGCATTTGCACCAATAACTCGATGTCGTCAACACAATATATATACAATATACTTTGCGTCGGAATGTGTATTCAACAGAGAAATATGCACAAGCTGCTGATACACCTTAGACGACGGCCGGCGACTTGGTGGCTTCGAAGTGGTGGTCGCTGGTGTGGTTGACAGGAGCATCGACCAACAAGTCAGCGTGGTCGTTCTGGGGTGTGCGGCGCTTGGGAGCAGGTGGCAGCGCGAACGTCAAGCCCACGGTCACCACGATGGGAATGACGAGCGTGAGAATGAACAGCACCATGCTGTGCGTCGTAAACAGACCTTCTTCGAGCACAAACTCCTTGAACCCGTCGACAAAGTTACCTTCACGAGTCCACCCTGACACAAAAATCTGCACCATAGCGTTGTGAGAACCACTTACTGTATACAACAGACGAACGAACAGTACCGTGACGAGCCCGCTCACGCAACCGGCCAAGACGGCCCACGGGTGGGTGCGCTTCCAGATCCCCAGGAAAATGGGGCCCACCGTCGCCGCACATAGCAAGTCAGCGATCAAAAACAACTTGAGCACGCTCGTGTCGGTGAGTGCAATGAAGATCGCGGGAATGTTGATCACAACTGCGAAACTGCATGAACAAATAACCCTCAATAAATAATAAATGACACATACCGGAGATGAGGCGCGCTGTCGTGAGCGAGAGCCGGGATTGAAAATGCGATAGGATTTCGGCACTCATGCCGGTTTGGACCGTGTCCGCCGTGGAACTGACGAGGGCCGCGACGACGATGAGCACGAGAACGCTCCATGCTTCGGGCATATCGAGCAGGATGTAGAAGAAGAACCCGCCGTCAAACACTGGAGCTTCGGGGTGCATGATGAACCCCATGAACCCGACCACGCCCAAGAGCACGATGAACGGGGTGGCCGCCAGTGCGGCGTAGGCACACGCCTTGCGCAGGTCGGCGTTGTTCTTGGCGGCAAACGTACGCAGCCAGAACCCCGTGAGGAACAAGTTGGACGACACGATCGCGATTGTGAGCGTGAACACGGCCTCGAACCCGGTGGTCGTGAACGCCGCGACGCCGGTGGTGGCAAACGCATCGACGGGCAGCGCCGTGTATGAGAACGCAGCGATGCAGATGATCACGACCAAGAGAAGCACGAACCCACCCTTGATGGCGTCGGTGGCGATGCTGGCCTTGATCCCGCCTAAGATCATACACGTGGTTGAACGAGACGAACCAACGGACAGACGGACGGGACCGCGTACCGAACAGGGTGTAAGAACACGTGATGACAGACACGATAATGATGGCCCACGCCTTGCTCACATCAGGTGCGAGCAGCACCATGAGTCCCCCGATGGCCGTCAATTCAGCAGCAATCGAAATCAACTGGTAAAACAACGCGATGAGCAGCACGTACAGCTTTTGCGGCGTGCCAAAGCGCTACAATGTGGAAATGTGAGTATGCATTCCTCCACCACATGTCATGGGTCGTGCGTACGTTGCCAGCGTAGTCGCTCAACGTAACCCCGTCGCCCAATTCTTCGGCGATGGCGGGACCAGCGATCTAGTGGTTGTGAGCATTATGCAGATGTAGCATGTACATCTATGGAGCCGACGTACGGCCAAGACACCATATCCGAGCACAATCGACAGCCAGTAACCGATGATGCCCCACGAGCCTACTTGGACCGCCGTGTCAGGGAACGCGTACAACGCCCACGAGCCAACGCCCGAGGCAAACATGCACCAGCCCAATGCCCATGGAGTTTGCGTCTTCTTGGCACTAGTTACGATGACGGTTGAACCGTGTGGCAACCACCATGGAAGAAGACATAAATAATATACCTGATGTAGGCGTTGATCGTGTTCACAGGCGAGAGGTACGTGACGTAGAACGCATAGGTGGCGACGGCCAACAGGGTGATGATCAAGCACAGGTACGCCGTCACGGCAGACACCATCGTCGTCGAGTGGAAAAAAGATGAATGGCCGTGTCGAGGAGTTTTGATTCGACGTTTTTATTGTCGACATTTTCCACTACCTTGAACAAAGTATGCCCATCGATTTAGTCGAATAAAAATGCAAGCGCTTCAACGTTTTCACCATCCCATACTTGACGCACGCGCTGCCACCATTCTGGGTGGCTTCCACCCATGACAAAAAGCTGGTGGGAATGTCGCAGGACACCACGAGTTTATATAAATAGTTATATACAGTATATACGTATATGCACCAGTGCAGTCGAAGACTTGTAGCGTGTTGACCACGGGTAGTACAATCGTACAGTTGATAGGGTTGGAATTCTAAGCCTGCATAAGGATGCCAGTTACGTTTGTCTGCTCTACAGATATTTGGACCAGACAAGGACAATATTTCACCAGAAATAACGTTCACAAAAAATAGCCTAATAGTAACGTAACGTTACTGCAGGAACTTTGTAATACCGGTAGTAATAGCAGCTGCAACAGCTTGTCGTTTGGATACAGTATACCAATGTCAGCTAAGTACTTCGAAACCCGTCGCTTCAAACCCCCCTGCAGCTCGAGAGGGCGGCTGTGAAGAAGCCGCAGGTCATGCCAACACCACACATCCACTGATTAGCCTGCGGATGAGATATTTTGAGCGGTATCTCAGGTGAGACAAACTTCCCTGGAAACATCCTTCCATATCACTTCAACTTCTCGACGACTTTGCTGCATTACCTCGACTTGGTACATTCAGTATTATTCCAGGCCCAATTTGCGCAGAAACCCATGCACTCGCGTGATCGCCAGGTCCAAGTGCTTCTCCGTATTGACGGCAAACACTTCCTGGTCTGTGACAGCGTACAGCCCCGACGCCGACTCGAACGTCGTCCACGACTGCTCCACCTTTTCAAACACGTCCCACGTCGCATCTGAGATCTGCACGGCTTCCGACGCGCGCTTGGCCATGCGGCCCTTGACGATCTCCCGGTTGCACTCGCACACGACCACCGCCGCCATCGCGCCTTCCTTCTTGGCGCCCTCCAAAAACAACCGCCGGAACGCATGCTCCCGGAACGTGGCGTCCACCAGCACCCGACGGCCGCGCTGCAGCGCCTCCTGCGCTTGGGCCCAGCACTCCATGTACGTCTTCTGCGTGAACGCGGTCGAGTACACGTCCGTCATGGCGTCGTCCGGCGTGCGCTCCGTGGGGTTGACCCCCGCCAGCTCCTTGCGCACCACGTCGCTGCGAACCCACACCCACCGCTCGTCCGCGGCCACCAGCCCCTGCGCGACGGTCGATTTCCCCGTGCCCGGCAGCCCCGTGACCAGCACCAGACACGGCCGGTCCGACGGCGGGGCCAGCAGCGTGTACGCGACGAGCCAATGGCATTTGGAGCGCGCGATGCTGCGCGTTTTGTCGGCGATGAGCGGGTCGAGCGCTTGGAACCCCGACACTTTGGCGCGGACCACCGAGCGGTAGGCGGCGTAGAAGCGCAGCAGCTCCGCGTTGGCCTTGGACGTCTGCTTCGACTTGTCCAAGTACGCGACGTTGAACGCCGTGGCCAGGTCGTGGCGCCCCACGCGGTATAAGTCCATCGCGAAGAAGGCAGCGTCGCTCAACGGATCCGAGTACCGGAAGCGCTCGTTGAACTCGATGCAGTCCAGCACCACCACGTCCGTCGTGGCGGCCGAGATGTCGTCGGTCAGCGTGTAGCTCGCCATTGACGGTTTGGTGCCGGACACGTCTAGAGAGAAGTCACAAGTCAGTCGCGGAAGGATCGTCGTCATCATCACGACGTACTCGCAGCTTTGGGCAAAAAGTACACATGCTCCAAGCGCAGGTCGCCGTGGGTGTCGGAAATGTACTTGTGTTGGACGCGGTGCTCGAACGTGTCCAAGAGGTCGGCAAACCACCGCTCCGACAGCAGTTTCACGCGGTGGTACACGTGGCCATCGACCAGCCCCGCGTCGACATGGGACGCCGATTGCGTGAAGTTCTCGTCCATGTTCTGCTTGATGACCGCCGGCTTCCCAAACTCGTCGATCGTGGCGTTTTTTCGCGCCGTCGTGTGGAACGCGGCGATTTTAGCGGCAACTAGGCCGAGCAGTGTGGCGTTGAGGCGGCCGGTCGTGAGGAGATGCAGACACGTGTTTTCGTTCGGAAGGCGGCGCATCTTGACCGCCCAGTCCACGATTTCGCCCAACGTGTCGTTGACGTAGTAGCTGGCGTCCTTGTCGCGTTCGTCGGTCCACATGTCGTAGGTGCTGATGAACAGCGCCGTGTCCTTCTTGTAAATGGGCACGACGCCAAGGTACACGTGGGGGGCGAGTCGCTGGTTGAGTTGCGTCTCGGCAAGGCAGGCTTGCATGCGCTTTTGGACAGAGCTAAAGTCGGCGAACCCAAAGTCCACGTTCTTCTTGACCTTGTATACGACATCCCGTCGAAGGAACACCATGGACATGTGGGTCTGGATGAGCTCGATCGCATCCGGGTCGTCGGCGTCGTCGTTGGGGTCGGCGACATATGCTTCGGGTACGACAAGCCCCCGGCAAATCTCCTCGCCCGACGCGGACACGAGAAACTTCTTCTTGCGGAGCGCCATTTTGGTCGCACTTCTGGATTTGCGGAATGAGGAGGGGTGCTCCACGGGGGACGGGCGACAAAGAAACGCAGTGCAGGAACAGGGAAAGGGACATTTCAATTGAGATGGAGCAAGCAGCAAATCGATTGTAACGGGCCGCAAGAAGCTGCGTCTTGTCAACGCGTGACGTCTGGAGGCTACTACAGCTGTATGCTGTGGCAATTGAAAGGGTGCATGTGTGTGATGCGTAGGCTGACTTGAGTTGGCTACCCTTCCGGTTCTGCCTCGAGTCACACGACCGTTGTAGAGGCATGCATGCCCGACACCTCGTTGTCTCCAGTTAGGAGACAACAAGGTGTCGGGGTTATTGTCTCGCTCTGGATCACGAGACGGGGCTGGGGCGGCATCAGTTGGGTCCTCCTGGATAACGTTCCTGCACATGTGTAGATCAATTTGAAGCGCCTTGCTGCTCAATGACAAGCCTACTACTGTAGTAGGTCAGCTACCAGGACACTACTGCGGTGCTGCGATCGAGATTGCCCTTCCATCGACAGGCAAAAGCCCCTGCCGAACCTGCTATTGTGTCGTTGGACAGTTTTGCACGAACGGGGGAATTAATCAAAGCTTCACTCTGTCTATACTTGGAATTTGTATGTGAAATTGAACGCGTGGAATAAAATGCAAGGGATGTGTCGTCGTCGCCCATCACCATGTGCATAACTTTGGCAAGGTCATGATTTCCATATTTTCGGATTTGATCCATTCTTGACAACATGAGCTCTTCTTGCGCTGCTGCATCGCCGACGTCCCTTGAGTTTCCACCTGGCTTCATGTGGGGCACAGCCACGGCCGCGTACCAGATCGAAGGTGGATGGAACGAAGGCGGCCGTGGCATGAGCATCTGGGACGCGTTCAGCAAGACGCCAGGGAAAGTGATCAACGGCGACACAGGCGACAAGGCCGTGGACCACTTCCACTTGTTCAAGCACGATGTCAAGTTGATGGCGGACATGGGCCTCAAGTACTACCGCTTCTCCATCGCTTGGCCTCGCATCCTGCCGACTGGGTTTGCCACCCACGTCAACGAAGCCGGAATTGCGTTCTACAATGCGTTGATCGACGAGCTGGTCGCGCACGGGATTGAGCCCATCGTGACGCTGTACCATTGGGACTTGCCGCTGGCGCTGCAGACCGAGTTCGACGGGTGGCTTGGCGGCCAAGTCGTGGTCGACGCGTTTGCCGAGTACGCGCGCCTTTGCTTTGCGCGATTTGGCGATCGCGTCAAGAACTGGCTGACGCTCAACGAGCCGTGGTGCTCGGCGTTGTTGGGTCACGGCACGGGCGAGATGGCGCCGGGTCGCAAGCACAAATGCAAGACGGAGACGTACCTCTCGGGTACGCATGCTCTACTTGTACATGACTAGGTGGGGATGATGGAGGTTGTCGGGTAGCTCACAACTTGCTGCTGGCCCACGCCCATGCTGTCGACGTGTACCGCAAGGACTTTCAATCGCAACAACGTGGCGTGATTGGGATCACGTTGAACTGCGACTTCCGCGAGCCCAAGCCATCGGCCGACCCCGCGGTCTTCAAGGAGAACCAGGCGGCGGCGGAGCGCGCGTTGCTAGTCGAGTTGGGCTGGTTTGCCGACCCGGTCTACTTTGGCGACTACCCGGACGTGATGAAGAAGCAGCTAGGGGCGCGCCTGCCTCGCTTCACGGAAGCCGAATCCACCTTGCTGCGAGGTTGGTTTGCCATCTACCAAACGACAAGTGTATGACGTGGCAGCGTAGGAAGCAGCGACTTTTTCGGGTTCAACCATTACGGGACGGGGTACGCGGAGCCGTCGGCGGCGTTTCGGAACAAGGTCGCGCCCGGCTATGACGGGTCCATTTGGGAAGATTCCGGGGTCGACGTGACTTCGAACGACAAGTGGCTCAAGACGGACATGGGGTGGAACGCTGTGCCGTGGGGCTTCCGCAAGCTGCTGGTGCGACGATCCCTGAAGACGAACCTTCACATTAACGAACCCGTAGATGTGGATCCAAGCGCGGTACTCCCCCAAGGGCGGCATTGTCGTGACGGAGAATGGGTGCGCGGTGGCAGACGTGGACCGCGACGCGGCGCAGCAGGACACGTTCCGCATCAAGTTTTACGAAGCGTACATCCAAGAGATGCACAAGGCGATGACCGAGTACGGCGTGGACGTGCGCGGGTACTTTGCATGGTCGTTTGTGGACAATTACGAGTGGGCGTTTGGGTACTCGAAGCGCTTTGGGCTCCACTGGGTCGACTATGACACAATGGAGCGCGTGCCCAAGGCGTCGGCCAAGTGGTTTGCGCAAGTGATCAAGCTCAACAAGGTGGATGTGACAGAGGAGAATGCGATTGCCATGGCCGCGGCGGAAACTGACCTGGCCGTGCCGTACTAACTGCCTTTGAAGTGGTTGTCTGCAACTACATAGCTAGCTGTGCAAGAGGATGTAGGACATACAACCCTGGTGAATAATCGTAAACGATAACGTTAACCAACGGTGTTTCGAACTACTTATTTGGTTTTCGCATCTGCTAGTACTTCGTAGCCAGAGTTTAAGTATAGCTGGCCAATCAACCCCCAAAACGCCACCGTCGTTGAAAATAGACAGGGCTGTTTCTGTAAGTGCAGTCGGAGCATCGTCGATACTGTCATGGCGATGCGGCTGGATGGGAGCTTTGGGGAACCGTCCTACATCAGCGTGGGTGACCCGTACAAGAGTGCCCGGGAAGCCAAGGTCCACCACATTGCCAACACCAAGCAGTTTCTCACCACGGGGCCTAAGCGTGGCCAGACGGGGTCCAACTGGGGCCCCGGCGCGCGCAAGTTTGTGGGGCTGTCGGTACGTTCCCCGTCGACTCGTTACATGTCGTGTTCACGGTCTCGCAGGGGTCCTACCAAGAAGCGTACAAGCAAGAGTCGCAGTATCGCCTCGAAAACACCAAGAAGAATGTCAAGCCCAACGGGTTTGTGTACTCGTCGTACACGAAAAAGAGGTAGAGGTCCATTGACTGACACGGGGGGGTGGGGTTGATGGCTTTGGGTGGGGGGAATGTGTGTAGCTGCGGCAAGGGCGACTACTTTGGCACGTTTCACGACCCGAAAGAGGACGACACCGCCCCCAAGCCACCCCCGTCCGCCCCTGAAACAACGAGGATAAACCCCAAGGATCGGCAGTTTGAAGTACGTCATCTGCCAATTATATCCCCCTAATTCCCCTTCTGCTGCATGTGATGCTCACGACTCCTCTCGGCAGAAACGCAACGTGCTGACGTCGCCGTCGAAGAAGGGGACGTTGGGGTACACGGGAACCCTCATCGGGGGCAAGCCCATCCCCGCCATGCCTGCAGAGTACGACTCGATTCATAACGCCGCCAGGGTACCCAACACATCATGATCATCGTTGTCGACGTCACCTCAATCTCGGAACATGCCGTAGAACGACATGCAGTATCACAAGGCCAAGCTGGGGGACCGCAAAGCGTTCAAGTCCATTTCGCACGCACTCGACTACTTTGACACGAACGACCACGTGGCAGCGTCGCGGGTGTTTGAATGGGACGAAGGGTGCAAGAAGAAGCCCCCCGAGAGGGAGGAGACGATGAACCCCAAGGAGCGCGCGGTGGCCCATGCCGCGACCTACAAATCGTGGAAACCGACCCATGCCGGCAAGGAGGGCGAGCCAGGGTACGCCGTTGTGTTATGATAATCGAAAGCGGATGATGTTGATCACGAGATCACGACAGGACGTTTGTGAAGTTTCCCGAGCGTGTGCCCGATCCGTACGACGAGCGGATGGTCACCCGCGCGATGCTGCCCAACCGCCGCAACCCCGTGGAGCTGGCGACGCAGGGCCTGTCCGAGAGCATCCGTGAGCGCAAGGCTTTCAAGCCGTCCAGCTTTCCCAAGCAGAAGTTCACCAAAGGCACGTGCCTCTTGGGCATCAATAAACACAAACTGTAGCCAACGAATGTACTACTACTATGATAGTACTAGTAATACTACGTAAGCCTCTAGTAATGTGCAACCCCCCCTTACTTCATGCTTTGTCGATGACTTATCAAACTAAAAGTTAAGGCAGCCCCGTGGAACTGCGCCACGCCACGGCATATTGCTGCCTCCGACCCGGCTCCAAGTATTGCAACATCAATCGAACGGACACTGGTGCACCTACATATCATTTTTCAAACTATCGCATTCCACAGATCTCGAGGTACTATTCATATATATATATATATATATACCGCTAGTGGGGTCGAACGACAAGGTGATGGAGCCCTTCAAGTTCCGCCGAGTCAATGTCTGGGGCGACAGTGCATACTCCAGCACGCCAGGCACCCACGCAACCGACAACGAGGAGGACGAAGTGGATGTGCCGCCGTGCAGAGCCACGGAGCGGAAGGCCCTTTGCCGACCACTTGACACATTGAGGCACATAATTCCAGGTCGAGTCAGCGTCATGCGCAAGTCGGAAGGAGGGGGGTGCTTCATGGAGGCGGCGTCAACGGTAGCCGTGAACACTTGCAGGGTTTCCGCGGCGGTGCGGGGGTTGCGTGTTGGCTGGAAAGAGCATGTCAAAACACGAGGCAACGAGGCTACTGTACCTGGCTTGGCAGTGGCACAGCTTCCTCAACGATCGATCCAATTGCATGCAGTCGACACAACAGGTTCGCGTGCGTCAAGTCGAAGAACGTGAGCTGTTACACAATGTGACCATGATCCACGCAAGTCCATTAAGCCAAGAAAGGCTGCAAAGACGTACATGGATATGGAGGGCGGGCGACAGATCCGTCAAGGCGCGAGGAGGGGGCAGTGGGAAGAGCTCGGATTTGCTCAACAACACCCCCACGTGCTGGATGTGATAGCAGTCCACCATGGCGTCGAGGTGCGCGGGGACATGGAGCTCCATCTGACACGATCCATCGATGGAGAGGACGTCGTAGCGGAAGGGGCTCCGTCTAGAGGGGAATACGGGTCTTTGAGTGCCGTCATCGTATGAATGAACAACACACCCGTGAACAGACCACTTGCGCTTGTCTGCGACGGACACGACGGACAAGTCCCCATTGTGTTTGTGGTATACGTATCGCCGCAGCTCGCGCGGAGCGTCCGAGGTGGAAGATGGCGTCACCAGCACGCGAATGACGCTGTAGAGACACTTGGGTCCGTGAACCGTGTGCACAAGCATGGGAGGTGGGGCCATCGGTCGGCAGTCGACCTGTAAAGTCACCACATCTCGCCGCGGATGGTGCAGGACCGATGTCACAACTGGCGGAAGTGACATGGACTCGGAAGGAATCGCGCCGTGCTCGATCCAGACGGTCTCAACACGAGGTGGAACGCGAGGGTCGTCGCTTCGAGGTATGGAATGCGATTGCATCTCCTGTGCGTGAACTTGGACTTGAATGTGTACGTGGCGATGGATGTATCTGGACATGGCGACGCCCGCTTGCAATTCCCGCCATCGCTTTCCTTGGGTTAAGAACCAAGTCCGATGCGAACGGCACGTCCCAATCCATGAAACGAGGGAACGGGGGTCAAGGCATGACGTTATGCGGAGCCAGCTGTGTGGACACTCCATACAGTTCTGCGTTGTCAACAGTAAATCTGACAATGACACCAAATGAGATGGAAGTTGAGTCGCGGCAGTCTATAAAGAAGGAGTCTTCACTCCATGAACCTTCTGGAACGCATGTGCTTGTGTGCTGTGAAGTCCATCATGTGTGCGCATACAGGTTGGTGCCCGACTTCGATGGTCTCTCCATGAGATCTCCACGTGGTCATGTTTAAAACAGTTATCCGGATATTTGGTAGAGGACGCCCAACAGGTTTTTATTGGTTACGTTTATGTCGTTATTCGAGGTAACGTTATAGTTGTTCTGAATCGTCACTTCCCAGCTCTTGGGATCTAGTACATAGTAACCACACTGCGTTCCACGGCCTTGCGCGTCTTCATGGGATGTCGTGGTACTGTAATGTTGAGCCTCGATGGCAATTCCTTTTGAAATGGTCATTGCACACATACACTCAGATGATGCAAAAGTGTTTGTCATTCGAACGACGTCGGTGCGTTGGTGCGACGTGATTGGCTCGTAAGAAACACTCGTTTTTATCATTTGTCCACTACGCTTTTGGGAGAATAAAATGTGTTTTTCCATATTCAACAGTTTCCCGGCGAGCGCAACACCATCCCGAGTCTTCTCGTACGGAAGATTACAGCACTGGCCAGCCAAGATACCTGACCAACATATCCGACGAAGACAGGAACCACACGTCGACACTCCTCCAGACCCCACGTTGACCCAACTTCGACAACAACGGCTGGATATGATGAAACTCAAGGAAGCTGTCAAAGAGTTCGACATCCCCGACGCGGCCCACACCACTCGGACACGACTAGGGTACGCTCAACTGAGCCATCTCACACAGGACTCGTCTCCATGCAGCGACACAAGTTTGGACACGGACGAGCTCAAAGGATGGGAAGACTTGGTGTCGTCGAACTCGTCAAAAGGGCCGATGCCGTCTCCGTACGCGATACTTTGTGCGATCATCAGTATATTTGGCTTCTTCTTCCTACTGTTCCTGGGCTCGACCGTCGCCTCCAACTCCATCTACATCCGCGTGAAACCCAAAGAAGGCCACGCCAAGTCGTCGCTCGCGGCCAACATCTTCCTCGCCGCGTTCTTGTACCTGGTGGCATTCGTGGGGAGCATCGTGTCCCTTTTGCGGGCCCGGCGCGCGCAGAAAGTGTTTCAACTGTCCTTGGACATCCACGCCGATAAGTAGTTGGGTATATAAAGATTTCATTAGTTAGTCGTTCTATATCCACACCCACCACTGTAGTAGTACAGTTAGTTAGTACCGACTAACTAGTACTACATGAGCGTGGTGGATCGACGCCGCGTGGGTTTTTCCTGGAGAAAACTCGGTCTGTTGGCCACCGAGTTCAAATGTCGCCGCAGGACGTGGCTCACGTCACTCTGTCGCAGTCCGCCGGCCACATGTTCGGGGTCGTTGTCGCCGTCGCCCATACTCGTTGACCTTCGCAGCCGCCGACTGCCGCCGCCGCGTCGGTTGGTTTCAAGAGTGCCCGTTGTCCGCAAGTGGTTGATGATAAAACTGCGCAACGACGACGGGGTTGTGGACGGTGATGACGTGGCACGGTGTGGTGACGCCACGTAGGGCTCGTCTTGCTGGAACGCCAGCGAGCCAATACTCGCATGTCGTTTAAAACTCACTTGCAGCCCTGGCCCTGGACGCACTTCGGGGTGCTGCGTGGCCAGAAACGACTGCGCCATGACAGTCTCTGCGTCGTAGCTAAATGCGACACCGCGCACGCTTATGCGATGATGGACGTGGGCAGGCGAGTCCAAGACCGGGTGTGGGCTGCTCTCGACATCGCCCCTCGAGGCAAACATGCTTGGCGGGGGGTACTGCAACAGGTACGCCGCGCGGTCAGCCAAGTGGAAGCAGTGCACTTCCTGCGCCAAGTTGGCATACGACGGGTTAAAGTTGCGCAGAAAGCCCTTCCAATACACGTCTCGCGCCAGCGCTGCCACGAGGGCCACTGGCACAAGCAACCAGAAGCCGTGGCCTTTGACCAGCGAAAACGCATTGCGCCAAAAGAAGCTAAACGTGGACGACGACACGACGGCCGCCAGGACCCACCAGAGTCCGATCGAAGCAACGTACACGAGGCCATGCCACACTGTGTGGAGGTGCTGGTTGAGCATGAGCTTGAGGTTCACGACGAGGATGACAATCGTAAACGCACACGCCCCAAATGTCCACATTGGCACCGACGCGTTGTCGAGCTTGAGTCCGTAGATGGTAAAGATGCAAATGACCGCCGACTCCCAAACACAAGCCAAGATCCACCGGCCAACGACGATCCCGTTGAATTTGCGATTGAGTTGGCCGACGCTATAGAGCTTGGGGAAGGCTTCGCAGAGGTAGTCGGGCACGTCTTGGTCGAGCGCGCCCACGAGCACAATCGGGAGCGCCGTGAACACCAAGTTGTACCCCTGTAGCCCCCACTCCAGAAAGAACTTTTGGCCGGAAAACCCAGAGTACGCCATGAACGCGTACTGCGTCATGTTCATCATGACATTCTTGTAGAAAATGTACAAGATCAGCGTCGACATGCGCACGTAGTTCCACCGGCCGTGCACAAACAGCAGCCGGATCAAAAACCGAAACTGCGCAATCGAGTAATCGCTCGAGTTTGCCGCCTGCATGCCTTCCTGGCCCGAGATGCCAATGCCTACATGGGCGGCTTGAATCATAGACACATCGTTCGCGCCATCTCCGATCGCGAGGGTGATGGACCCGCGGACGTTGTCCTTGACGAGGGTCACGAGCTCGGCTTTCTGGGCGGGCGACACGCGGCACGCAATCACGGCCGCGCATTGCTTAGCAACGTTCAGCAGCAGCGCGGGGCAGTGCAGCAACGCCAGACCCAGCGTTTCGCCGTCCACAACCAACGCCTTGTCCGTTGTCTTGTCCGTCATGATCGTGGGCTGATGCTTCTCGAGCGTGGCCACAATCTGGTCAATGTCGTGGTGGTTGTTGCCTGAAATCACCACCATGTCCATGTCCATATGCAGCAACTGGCAGGCAAACCCAATGTTAATCGCTGTCTCCTCCTTGTCCCCCGTGAGCATCCACACCTTGATCGACGCGTCGCGCAGCTTGGCGATGGCGTCCGGCACGCCCGACTGCAGCTTGTCCTCGATGGCCGTCGCGCCGAGCACTTCCAAATCTGTTTCCATCGCGTCCATCAACGCATCAATCTGGTTGGGGTCCCCACGGCGCCGCTTTTCGATCTCCGCCATGTTGTTGGACGCTTTCTTGTACTCGGCCGACCTATATATCATATCCCATCTCCCCTATGACTACTTCCCAAGTCTTCATCGACCGTACCATGCCGTGTACTTAGCGCGATCGACCACCGCATGCGCAATCACAAGCGTCCGTAGCCCCTCGGATGCAAATGTTTCCATATGCTCCAACGTCTGGTCCCGCACCCGTAGCACTGCCGCGTCCGATGTGTCCTATAGCATCCATGGTCAACGTTCAATAGTGTGTAGTACTACTAGAGAGAGAATCCACAGCACTGAACGGTTGACAAGGTACATACATGCAGGTTCCCAATGATCAAACGATCTACGGGAATGCCTCCCTCACGACGACTATCACGGTACTCGGCACACGTACCGCGAGGCGCTCGTAGATGACCGTGTCCGCGCCTTTGCACAGCAGTGCGAGGCTGCCGTCGGGCTTCTCGGCCACCACCGACATGCGCTTTCGAGTGCTGTTGAACTCGAGCACGTCCAAGATCTTGTACGTCACCGCGCCGGATGGCGTCTGAACCAGCGCTTCCCCCGGGGACCGCGCGTAAAATGAGTGTCCAAAGCACGCGGCGGCAGCGACCAGCGCTTGCTCGTCGGGGGAAGACGCCGACAAGCGCAGCGTGCCGTCGCTGGCCGACTCGGGCATGACGGTGTGGCACACGGCCAAATGCTCCCAGAAGAGCGCCAAGTGCGGGCACGTGGACGCCTCGAAGATCGAATCGTCCTGGAAATTGACAAAAGGCGCGACCACGGGGCGGGTCTGCGACGCATGCGCTGGGTTGTACGTGACGTTTTGGCGCATTTTGGCAGCGAGACCCACTTCCGTGTCGCCCACTCCATACGAAATGCCGTGGATCGAACACTTGCGGAACTCCATCACGTTGCACGTGAGGGTGCCGGTTTTGTCAGTAAACACGTAGTTGATCTGGCCGAGCTCTTCGTTCAGTGCCATCGTGCGCACTTGGCACGGTGTGTCCGTGTCTGGGTGGTACATCTTGACGTCGGCATTCATAAAGTACGCCTGAATGAACTTGACGCTGGTCATGCTCACGTACAGCGACACGGGAATGAACGAGTTGAGCAGCAAAAAGTAGTACAGGCACAGCATAAAGTAGTTTTCAGTCGGCGACGTGAGCACGCGGTCCCTCGGCCCTCGATACAAGTACCTATCATGGCCATAAATAAATATATATATATCTAGTCAAAGGTCGCCGTTTAGGCCGTACCACGCCTTTTCATTGCGGTCCAGGGACAAGTTCTTCAAGTTCCACTTGGTGCCGATGGATGCCCCCGTCACACAAAGCACAATCATAAGTGCGACAATGTACAAAATCTGTCGGTTGAGTCGCAATTCCATGTTGCTCCACTTGACCGTGTCCTTGTTCTACACGAAAAAATAATATATATATATATCCCTTTGGAGCGTCGATTCCTTATGAAAATGATATATATATATATATATACATATATATACAAGAGAGATGGAGAATGGAATCGACACAACCAATATGTGTAAAGAAGAATCGGCAGAAGGAATTGGCCAATCAGATTGCAGGAAACTATCAACAAATTGTCAAATTAGTGTGTGACTTCAATTAGTGTGATACCAATCACCACAGGACCCTTTCTTTTTACATACAAAATTCAGTACAAAGAACAATCGATCGATAGATTTGGTGAATCAGCATAAACGTCCAAATTTTGGGTACAAGGACAATATATATATATATATATATATTATATTGGTACCAGGGACGCCATCATGATCTTGGTGTCGCGTCCTGTGTTGACGACCAACCCAAACACAAACTCGGTGTTGCGGATCGTGCATCCTCGCAGCAAGATGGAGTTGGCGCCAATGCATTCGTTGTGGCTGCTGCCGAGTGCGAGGGTGCCGTTGAAGTGGTGGATCGAGTTGTTGGGGACTTCGCATTCCTACCACGTCGCATGATCATGCGACACGGGTCAGCTCGATAGAAGCGGCAGGGAGTGTTCGATACCACGTGGCCGTGCAAGTGCGCCAAGTCGGCGTCGGAGCGAAGGGTCGTGTACACGCACTCGACGCCTTGTCGCATCTTGAGGTTGGTCTCGCCGTCCAAACTCTTGGTTTCGACGTAGCAAATGCCTCGAGGTTGGTCTGGGTTTTGCTCAAACGCGCCCAGGATCACACAGTCCGCCGGGATGACTTCTCGGTTGAAGATCTACGAGGGTGTTGAAAGTGTCTTGCGAGGCATGGTTCGCACGTACCTTGATGATGTCGCCGACAACCAACGACCGGGACGGCCGCTCCTCGAAGGTCCCGTTGGCAGCGTCGAAGCGATGCACGGGGATGTCGTTCGTTTTTCGGTCGGACGTGTGTCGTCGGTAATCTTCCATGGCAATGAACACCATGTCGATCAAGACGATGATCGTCAAGGCAGGCAATGACGCCGGGAACCCGTCCGTGTTGGAGATGCGCTTGATGCATTGCATGACTGAAATCATGAGGAAGTACGCGTTGGCGAGTTTGCTGAACTGGTACCACAACACCTTGGGCAGGAACGAAAACAGCGTGTACCGCGACGTTGTGATTGTGTTGCCGATGTACTTGAGCTTGGCGTTTTCCAACGGATTGTTCAGGTACACAAACCGGTACGGTTCGACGTCGTCGTCGCCGTTGGTCGCTACTTGGTCCTCGGTGGATAGCACGTCCGCATTCTTGCACCTCAACTTCATCGGCGACGAGACAAGGGTGTAGTCTGCAGCATGCTCCCTTCGTTCCTGTGTGTTTCCGTCCACTGCCAACGCCTTCATGGAGCTCGTGCAAGGCAACGACCGCCCAGCAAACTGTGTTTTCAACAGAAACTGCTCGCTCAACACGAAACTCAGCTATCGAATTACTGCCATTTTTCGATTATTGTGGGATTTAGTGCCTGTTTGAAGGCCTCAACCAATCCGATTGTTTCTTAGTCAATCGTGGGTGTAGAGGAGCGTAGGCCAATCAACATCCTTGGTATCCAGCAAAATGGATTTGATTGGCGTATAAACTTGGAAAAGGATTGTCTACACGTAGTATGTACTAATAGTAATACTATTATGTACGGTATTTTGACGTACCTTTGCACTGTGTAGTTAAATTTGGACAATTTATTTAAATCGTACAAGTGTATAATTGATTGGAGATGTATTGAATTATACTACTATAATTATACTCACATTTCTTATATTCCATGTATGCAGCGCAACAACAAATACAGTACTTATACAGTACTTTGACTTTACGGTATTGATGTACTTCGAAGTACTAGGATTACAGTAATACTAACGTTATTAATATTAATACGTACTACTATTTAATACTACAGCAATGGTCAGTCAGGTCGTAACACATCAATTCGATTTGTCCAATCAAGTTGCGCTGTTTGACTCGAACAAATTCGGCAATAAAATGATGGATACCATGCGAATGCTGGTGAAACCCATCCTGCAGTAGAGCAAGGGTCTGAAGAGCAGGCCCCATCATTCGAGACTAACGTGCAATACTTTGGAAGGGCAATAATGAAGGAGAGATTGCGATTCGGCATGGTCCATTCAACACAATAACGCGCAAGATAGAAAAAACCCTCCAAATTAGTTTGGGTTGTTTTGCACCCAATCGATCGTGGGTTTGCAAACATATCTCACCATGGAACAATTGATCGACTAACAAATACCACCATCCAGAATTTACCCAGCACTCGAGTGAGTTGTACTGTAATCACGAGTCACATGGACGGTGCTTGGGCAGCCGCGCCGCGCGGCATGCCGCATCCGCAGTCCGATTTCGCCAAGCGCATCAACAAACTTGCTGCTGCTAGCCCGGTCTCGACAAAGTTACGGGACCACCTTGTAGCTCTCGCGCGGAAGCGTGGCCTCGACTTGATTCACAACCGGCTGCCTGGATTGGACTTGGTCGCGCTTGGGCCGAATGGCGTGCGCATCTACGACGGATTTGTAGGCAGGGATCAATACGTGGTCAAAGGCACGACCTCCCTGCGAGGCACCGTGTCGGACTTGCTTGGCCAGCTGCGGCACCAAACGGCATCGACCCACGACTGCCGGCGCAGCTTCTACCAACTTTTCCTGCGAACGTTTACCCACAGCATCAACCTGAAGCAAGCGAACGACGTTTCCACTGTCGGTTCGGATGCGATACAGGTTCATTGGCTCGCTCTTCGCGGAGATGGCGTGCACGCGACGCCGTTCGACATGGTATTTGCCTCCCACAGCCAGCAGTATGTCTGGGATCGGGTGGCGTGGCGGCCATGGGCGCCCCTTGACGGCAGCCAAGTGATGCGGGAAGCTGCGACGCATGTGTGGGAATCTATCGACACCCGGACACTCCCTGCCTTCGACGATGCCACCACCGGATGTGCGAGGCTCAAGGTCCACCACAGCGGGTTTGTGATTGAAAAAAGCCCCGACGTGGCCAACCATTGCGTGGTCTCGTTCGTGCTCTGCTTCAACGACCGCGAACTCTCTCGGCCATGGATGCAGGAACTGGTCGGTGGGCTCCCGCGCTTTTGTGGACGAGACCATTTCCTTGTGATCCCGACCCAACTGTGGTCGTACAACGCCTACTGCCACCTGTGCTTCAAGACGTTCCGACTCTACCGACGCCGCCACCACTGCCGGCTTTGCGGGCATGCCACGTGCTCCAGCTGTTCGCACAACGTCGAGATTGACGTTGCCTCGGACATTGAAGCATCGTTCGTTCGACAAACTCCCGTGTTGACGTGTCACAGGTGCAGTGTGCACTACCGAACCAGTCGACGGAACCTTCTTTTGACGCCATATAAATCCCAAGGGAACCATTCCGGCCCTCGACGCACTCGCAGAGAGGATGGCCTGCACCCGCCGACGACGCGACTGGAAACCCCGACCTTTGGATGGACGCAGCATCCACCAGTAGCACCTGACCCGTTCATAACTCGTTTTGCGGACGACAACGAGTCTACCTTTACGATCCATGCGCCATCGTCGTTGCCCCATCGAAGTGTTTCAGTCCCGACGATGTCACATACTGGACGGGATGTGGACTTGGAGGCTCTCTATTCGAGTCATGTCCCCGTGGTAACTACCACAGGGTTGCGACCGAGGGGAAGCATGTCCTTGCCTGTCTACACGCGACCTTCATATGCCCACGAGAAGCCCATGCGGATGTCTCAGTCATCGGAGTCCCAGTCCTCCTTGATTCGTCGGCGGCCGTCCACTTCGCAAGGTCCGCCTGACGTTGATGCCAAGTGTGCGTCCGCTCCCAGTGAAAGCCATCTACGCGACGAGCCGACCACTGTCTACTATTTACAGTTAAATAAGTAGATGAAAATGGGAGTTACATTTGTCAGTGAACTTCCGGATACGTTTCCGGATTCGTCCAAGCGGCAGGTGGAAAGATTCAAGCAACCACGACGCTAGTGCACGATGAGTACTTTGTCGCAATGGGCCGAGGATGACGACGCCGATGAGGACGACAACATCCTTTGGGACGAGTCCACGGAGGAGAAGTTGGCAGAGAATCGAGGCGGCTTCCACCTGCGCAAGCAAAACAGCCAAGGCGGTGGCCTGCGTACGATTCCACTCTGCAAGACGCCACCAGCAACAGACCCACGGCTCATTACGATGAGCCCACCGACAGCAAGCACACTGACGACACGTCTGGCACCGCCTGCGCCTGTCCAGGGGCTCTTGAAGAAGAAGGACGCAAAAAAGGCCAGCAAGTTTGGCCTCGGCGAGCGGCCACTCGGTTCGCCCAGCAATGGGGCCCCTTCAGGTGCTCAAACTGTAAAACTGAATGGCAGCTTTGGTGGTGGAGCAAAACGCAGAAGTACCAAGACCAAGTCGGGGGACATTGGATCCGCTTCCAGCGGTGGTGGCTCTGTGAGCAATTCCGCCGCGCTGAAAATGTCCGAGACCCCGGAACAGGTCCGGCGCTTCCTGCTCGCCGAAGTCAAACAAATGTCCATCGAGCGGCTTGTGGCCGACGCCAAGCGATATTTATACTTGGAAGACTTTCATCAAAAGCACACGGCCACATCGTACGTATCATCGAGTATCATTCTGGGCATTTTCAATCCCTAAACATGAGATTAGGCCACCAACACACCCGACGACACCGTCAACCGTTGCTTCCACATCTGCGTCATTGTCACCGAAATAAAGGCCCTGCTATTTGACACATCCATTATGCTAAATTCTAAACAGACGCCAACATGATGGGGAAATTATGGTGTCATTAGTAGTGGATTAGACAATTGAGGTTGTGGAGGCTTTGCGCTGTGAGCTCGTAGATGGTAAACGTGCAGCTGTGGGTGAGCATCGATTTGAGTAAGCTGGGAATGGTGCCTTTGTACAGGCCGTAGAGGCCTTCGTGCCTGAAAATATCGCGACCGCAGTGCACGGCCGACGCGTAGGAAGGAATAGTGTGGCCATAGTCTGCATGCCGTGGCACGCCTTGCATTTGCATGCGCTTCTTGATGGTGTCCAGTGGATACACAAGCAGTTTCGACACAAAGCCGGCGATGGCGCCATTGCCCACGGTTTGAAGCACCCATCGAAACCGCGAGTGAGTCGCGCTGGCCGTTATCTCGCTGAGCGTGGCGTAAATGCCGAAACTCAATCCCATGTACGGGATGATCTGGGACACGGTCGGGCCGAGCCCCTTGTACAGTCCGCCTTTGATGCCCTCGCGATGGATGGACACCGCGAAGAAGTGCCGCATGTTGCGGTAGACCTTTGGGACTCCTTGGCTGGACATCACTGTTCTGCAGCGATCGAACGGATACGTGGACACTGTGGCCACCACGCCGGAGGTGGCACCGATGACGCTGTTCCACGCCCAATGGTTTCGGCCGTCGCCGTCCATGAGGATGTTGTGCAGCGCTTGGTACGTTCCAAACTGAACGCCAGAGTACGATACCCATAGGAACGTTGCGGCAATGTTGCCCCGCCAAAACGTGCGAAGGCCTTCTTCGCGGTAGATGGTGGACAATGCGTGGGCCAGGCCAGTGTAATGTTTCGGGAAGTGCGTCGCATTGGCGCCAACCTGCACTTGGAATCGGATCTTGAGCAAGTCTAGCGGCGCCGCAATCACTCGAGTCAACCCGCCCGCCACAGCACCAGCCACCATGCCTTCCCACGCAGACGGAGGAGGCGAAGCCATCGATCTTATTCGTTCTTCTTGCTGTGCTTGGCGTCGCCGGGGGTGAGTTTTTCCTTGGGAACCGAAAAGAGGAAGGACGGAGCAAGGATGATGAGGAAACAGACCAACGCCACAGACAGATTCAGCCAAACGTCTTCGTCGCGCATACACGTTGAGGAGGTCGAGAGCTTCCGAGCCAGCGTTTCGAAAGGTGACGGAGTCGTCTGCCCACCCACCAGCAAAACAAAACGGCCGAATTATCCGGATACCATCATTCATACTACGGTATTATAGTAACTCTCAGCGTGTGAAATCGCCGTGGATAAGTTTCTCCTCGCTAACCACTTTCGCATCCTTCGAAGTGCTATCGTATACTTGTTGACTTCTTCGTTCCCCATAGTAGGTGCGACAGCAACGTACATTATAAGTGTAACCAGCGAAAAAGTCAAGCAGCCATGGAAAGGTATCCGGATATTGCAGTAGATCTTCTTTTCACGAAAGGTCGCAAGCATACTAGTGGCTTTGATTGGTCTATGTACAACGACTACAACCGTCCAGTGGGGTACCCCGAGTGGAATTCGCTGAGTTTCACAGGACGGTTCTCCTTGAGCGAGAGGGTGGCGGCTAGCCCTAGCTTGAGGGCTTGGCGGCCGTCTTGGCCCGACACTGGCGGGACGGCCCCAGGGTTCAAGCACACGTCTACAAACGCAGCCAATTCGTCTCGATACGCGTCCATGTATCGATCGATAAAGAAATGAAGCGGCAAATCACGCGCAATCGACGCTGCAGTGGACACCGTGACCTGCAACACACCACAGTCAACATGCGATTGCTTTTGGTGTTTGTGTACCGTGTTGGGGTAGTTGTTGTCGCATGAGACGGCGCCCTTGGAGCCGAGGATTTCCACGCGCTGGTCGTACCCGTACGCTGCCACGCGACTGTTTTCAATGTACCCGATGACACCGTTGGCGAACTGCAGGCACACCACGGCCACGTCCACGTCCCCCGCGGCGGCGATGGCGGCATCGCAGGCTCTGCCCAGTACAAACACTTGGTCGATTTCACTTCCCACGAGGAAACGCGCCATGTCGAAGTCGTGGATGGTCATGTCGCAGAACATGCCGCCTGACACTTTGATGTAGCTCACGGGGGGTGGGCTGGGGTCTCGACTCGTGATGCGAATCTACTCCAACCAAACGTGACGAATAGGATGGTGTGCGGGTGGGTGATGGCTACCATGGACACGGCGCCCACTTCGCCGTCGACGACGGCGCGGCGAACGCGCTTGAAGTTGGCGTCGAACCTGCGATTGAACCCGACCATCAATTTGACGTTTGCATCCTCCACCTAAAGCCGTCATCACACGAGTAACAACATGAAGAGTTCGATCGAATGGATTCCTCACTGCTTTGACGGCGGCATCCACAACGGCCAGGTCCAGAGCGATGGGTTTCTCACAAAAAATGTGCTTCTTGTGCTGGGCCGCAAGGTGAATCTGATGAGCGTGGTGGTCCGTGGGAGAACAAATGAGCACTGCGTGGATGGTCGGGTCTTCGAAGATATCGTTAGGGTCCGTGGTGAAGTTGGGAATGCCAAACTCGTCGGCCAAAGCTTTCGCGCGGTCGGCCCCAGGGTCAGCAACCTACTGTCATGTTGTGGACTAGGTACGTGGATAGACCTTCGGTACCGATACGATGGTAACTCCTAAACGTGACAGGATCTGCGTATGAATGGTGCCAATGCGGCCAGCGCCCAACACGCCGACGCGAAGGGACTGAGGATTTTTGCTCCTGGTGTTGCTCATGACTGTTCAATGGTGGCCGCAAGTTACTCATGTAAAGCAAGGTAAACGTCGTCGCCACTGATTGGCCACGTGCGACTTATTGCAAATCAAGGTGACAACAGTAGTAGTTTTAATTCCGTCGTAACTAAATCCTTGTTTGAAAAAAGTATTTAATTAACATCATACTGTAAAACCTTGTTTGAAAAAGGTATTTATTTAAAATCATACAACATGATATGATGCGTTTGAACGTCGTGACATGCCAACCCTCTTTCAACCTCAAGCAACTGGAAGTAGTTCATTGAGCAAACGTCATGTTGATTATCACCAAGTACTGCTGTAGTTACTGCAAATGTGTCCCCTTGGGATCATGCAAATTCAATAGCGGGGGCGTTACCTTCTTGAATCCTATTGCCTATATATAAATACCGGCTATGAATAGCTAAGTCAACGCAACCCAATCGTTGTTCACAACCGCTGCGAGCCCATGCATGCTCGGCGCAAGGACGGTGCGGCGACCGCGCCGAACCAAGTACTAGACCTTTAGAGTGTAGAGTAGGAGAGCATGAAGACTGTGTGTCCATGTTCCAGCTAGAGGATCGGCCTGGCTACAGTCCTCATGATCCCGTGTACATTTGTGGTAGATCTCCAACAGCAAGCGAAGTGCGCTTCAAGACGCTTTGGTGGCCAAGCTCGTGTACAAATATGCCAAACGCGACGATGAATTTGGCCGCATCATTGTGAGCCTCGTGTCCAAGTTGGTGCGCACGACGGCCAAGTTGGTCGAAGCCGATATTTCGGCGCTGGAGAAAACCGTCAAGAAGTTGCACGACGAGCGAGGGCGAAAGCAGCGCCGCGACGACGAGCGGGTGGGCTTTCAGGCGCCCCCGCCCGAGGACGCGTTGGATGTCAAGGTGGCAGAGTTGGGTCCGCGGCTGTCGTCGCCGCGGTTCCAACCCGCCGTGAAAGCGGAGACGATCAACTTGAAAACGCAAGATGAGTGGGTGCTCATCAATGCCTTGAACAGCGTCGAGTTCGAAGACTCGGAGAAGCACAACATCGAGACGAAGCACATCAAGACCGTGCAGCAGCGTCAGTGGTTGGACTCTCAAAAGAAGGAAAAGGACAAAAAGGTCAAGTCGCTCTTGGACGAAAAGCACGACATGTACGAGCACCAAGGTACGGACGACATGCGCCAACATAATGGCGGACAAGTGACAACCATGGGGGCGTAGTGTCGGACTATACCAGGTGGAGGGCGGAGGAGGTAGACAAGGCGCGCAAGGCCAAGGACGCGGTGGACCACATCCGCATGGAGCGGGATCGGCAGCTGCGCGAGTCCAAGGAGTTGCATGCCAAGCTCGAAGAGAAGCGGCGACAGGAAGAGGAGCTCGAAGTGCAACGGTGCAAAGACGAGCTCAAGCGGACAGAGATGGAGGCGCTCGAGCGGAAGCGCGTGCAACATGCGCGGATGCAGTCGTTACTGAAAGAGAACATCCAAGTGCAGCGTGAGAAGGAAAAGAAAAAGTCGTTGGATCAAGGTACGTTTTGATGAAGGTATGGACATGGAATTAATTGACCATTGCTTGGTGCGTAGAACGCGACGTGAAGCTAATGGAAGAGTACGCACAAAAGCTGGCCAAGGAAGAGGCCGAGCGCGTGGCTGCGCTGCAGCATAAACTCACCCGACAAGACCGCATTCAGAATGGCATTGCGCTGAGCATCCACGAACAGCTCAAGCTAAAGGAAATGGAGGACGAACAGCGGGCAGACGACTACCAGCGCCACAAGCTCGAGTCGGATCGCGAGAAGGAGCAGGTTCGTGGGTCACTCGCTTAGTAAAATGCTGACATGAACGGATTAGATCATCGCAAAACGACGAAAGGAGGAAGCGCTGGACCGCAAAAAGTACTTGACGTTTCAGCACGAAGTCAAGGAAGAGAAGAAGAAGAAGCTCAACAAGGAAGAGGTCGAATACAGCAACAAATACCGAGAAGAAGGTGAGTTGGCGCTGCGGGAGATGAAGCAAAAGCAAGACAATGCCCGTGTGCGCAACAAGGAGTACCAGAAGCTGCTGTTGAGTCAGATGCAGGAGCAAAAGGTGCGCAAGGCCGCCACATTCAAGTCCATGGACCCGCGGGAGAAGTCGCTGAATGCGATCTTACTCCGGAAACTGGAAGTCGACGAAGATTTGAGTCAAAAGGTCGTGGCGAAGCTCAGTCCAGACAAGATGGTCCGCGCCAAGCCGCGCAACAACATCTTTTAAAAACTGAAATATACATGTCAAACCACCTATAAGAACAATATATACTTCTGTTAAATGTTCTGATTGGTCAGAGACCTTATTCTATTCAGAAAAGACAACCATTCGACTGATGACCAACATTCCTATTGTTTTTTGTTACAATCCCAGATAATTGATTGCACATGCCATGCGAAGGGGACAAGCCAAAGGGGCACACTGGACCGAGGAAACGCCGACCGAAGACAAAGAAGAAGCATGAGGACATCCCATCCATAGCAATGGCATCCGTAGCAATGGCAGTGCCATCGCCGCAGAAGTCAACGCGCACAACCAAGAAGGCTGATGCTGCCCCAGCGACACCCGAGACGCCCAAGCGTACTGCTGGGTTGTGTGCGAAAGCAGACTCGTTTTCTCCCACCACACTGAACACCATGTCACCCGATCGAACTATCGAAGCTGCCACACGTGCATATTGGACCCAGTGGGCGATTGACGCGGCGGAGCAAGAACGGACTCGTAGATTGCACCAACTAGCAGACATTCAACGGGAAGAGGATATGGAACGCGCGCGACGGCAAGCGTGGGCGCGGGAGGCAATTGAGATGGAACAGCACTCGCGTACGTCGCGCCTGTTTCTCGAAGCGATGCAGAACACGGCGTGGTTCCAAGCGACGATCTCGCCGTCGATTCTCAATTACGAAGTGGTGTGTCCCCACAGTTGGTTTGGCTGTACATTCAGCTGCATGTTGCGGCACATCGAAGAGCATCTCGTGGACTGTCCGTACCGCCAAGTCCCTGACACCCCCACGGTGGAAGACATGGATCTACATTCATACGATGTAGTTTGTCCCAATGCTGTCCTCGGTACGTCGGCCTCGTTCCCGTAACGTCGTCACATGATTACTTCTCGTCAGGCTGCATCACAATCTGTTCCCGCGACACTATTGGCGCCCACTTGTCAGTGTGTGGCATCCGGTCGGCAGAAACCGAACTCGCAGAGCGCATGCAATCGCAACTCAGCGTCATCGCCGCCAGCGAAACCGAGCGCCGACGCCGCATGAACGAAGCCACAGCCATGTCGTCCGAGGTGCACAAGCTGCACGACGCCCAGACCAAGGACCTCCAGGCCCGGCTGCACGCCGAAGTGTCGGCGTTCGGCGCGGCGCACCACACGAGCGCACAGCTCCGCCGCCCCGGCGTCCTCCGCGTGCTGGAGGTCGTCGCGCACATCGTCCAGACCGCGTGGCCCCAGGCCGCAGTCGAGCCGTACGGGTCCTTCGCCACGCACCTGAACTTGCCGTCCAGCGACGTCGACCTGGTCGTCGGCCCCTTTCACTCGGTCAGAACCGACAGCTTGGGGGACGTGCAGCAGCTCGGGGATCTCTTGGCGGCACACTCGTCGTCGTCATGTTCGGACGTGACGTTCACGTCGATTCAAATCCTGGCGCATGCCGCCATCCCGCTGCTCAAAGTGGTCGCGGCGGTAGGGGGGGCGGACCTGTCGGTGGCGCTGGACGTGACGTTTTGGAGTCCGTCGCACCAAGGGCTCGCCAGTGCCGCGTTGGGGCTCGAGCTGTGTCAAGGCATCCCGGGGTTGAAGGAAGTGACGCTCGTGCTCAAGTATTACTTGGCCAAGCGCGGCATGAACGATGTGTACCGAGGGGGGTTGTCGTCCTATGGGTTGGTACGATAAGAGGCCATCTTTACATGTTGAAATATTTACATGGTATGTCGTCTAGCTGCTCATGGTGGCCCACGTGTGCCTCCAAAAGGCTTCTCGGCATCCGACGCCAACGAAATCGGCGGCCGTCGACGAGGGCGATGGCGCGGTCGCGCTATCCGACAGTCAGCGCGCCAAGGGAGTTCGAGTGGCAGCCGCGTTGATGGCGCACGTGAAAGCGGAGGCAGCGGCGCCGTGCCTTGGCAAGTTGTTGATGGAGGTGCTGCATTACTATGGCAACAACTTTCAGCCAGAAGTGGACGTGGTCACCGTCGGGACGTCGTTCAGGTGTGTCGTCCACTGTTTGTTTAGTGGTTGTGACGTGGTGGGTGACGGCTAGTGACGACATGCGACGAGGTGCGGCCGCCACGTTGTGTGTGCTGGATCCGCTGGACGGGACCAACAACGTGGGACGCCACTGCTACCGCATCTCACACATCCTGCGCAGTTTCCAAGACGTGTCCAACTCTCTCACGTCGCTCATCGTTCGACTTCGACGAGGCAAGGACGTGGGTGGAGGGTCGTTGCTCGATCGCATGTTCAATCTGTGACACTGTGATCCAAGGACCACACACATGCCACCAGATGGGTGGACCACAGGCCCATCGGCAATTGTGTTGTGCCTGGACTTGACCTGGTAACGACGCAAGTGCTGTGTACTAGTAATCGGGTCCATGGGTGGCCTGGTGGTTTGTTAGCTGTGAGAAACAAAATCGAATGGCGGAGGTGCCGAAGTCGAGAGATTATGGTGTGCTTGTTGGCTCAACAGCGTTGAATACAATGTGTTGCAAGTCAATCAATGACGACGTACACCGCGATTTTGCTGTATTTCACCTGTACATATTCACCTGTATATACACTACTTGGGGGGTAGTAGAGTACCTTCCAGTGATGTAATCTATTAAAGACGTGTCCTTGGAGGTTACTGGACAGGACGAAGGCATGGACATGAGCTTGATGGGGGTGGAAGGCTCATATCAAAGTAAACATGTGTCATCGACCTGTGGGCCCTCCATGCACTAAGTTTGCGATCCAAGTGCTGATATCGATCGCGAAAGTCTTCAACGCGACCCCCGACAAGCGGCGGTTTCACTCTGCCGTTTCACGTTAGTTACCGTTACGTACACCATAGACCAAGCTAACCGAAACTCTGAACGGGGGACCAAGAGTCGGTCAAAGTAGCAGGATGGCAGCCGCTCCGCTTGAAGGGACAAAGTCCATCGACACGTTGCTAGCGGCGGAGAACGTGAGCGCGTCAGGTCGTCGGGTTCCTATCTCCACATCCGAGAGCGGGTTGCCGCCCGGCCGCGTGCTGTTCATCAACGATCGAAGCGCGACGAGTGCCGCCATGGCCAAGCTCGGACTCACGTGCGCGAGCAACGTCGTGCGCACGTCCAAGTACTCGGTCCTGTCCTTCATACCCAAGAACCTCATGGAACAGTTCCGCCGCGTGGCGAATTTCTACTTTCTCATCATCTCGTTGCTGCAACTCGCGACGCCGTACTCACCCACAAACCAGTACTCGACCATCGGCCCCCTCGTGCTCGTGTTGGTTGGTACGTCCTGGAGGTAGTTGCACAGCAACTCAGTAATCTATGTCGTTGGGTTAGCGACCATGATCAAGGAGGCAGTGGAAGATAAGGTGCGCCACGACGCAGACAAGACCGTCAACCGCGCCAAGACCCTCGTGTTTGTTGACGCGACGGGGGGGTACGAAGAAAGGATGTGGCAGGAGCTCCAAGTTGGGGGTAGGGCCGCATCCTTCCTTCGTCCATGCCGAGAACTCAATATACATTGCATTAGACGTGGTGAAAGTTCTCGAAGGCGAGTGCTTTCCAGCTGATCTTGTGCTCCTCGAATCCAGCAACATTGACGGACAAGCGCAAGTCGAAACAGCCAACTTGGACGGCGAGACCGATTTAAAAGTACGCAATCACATGTCATATATATTATATATATATCGTCTCCTCATCTTGGGTCACCACGACGACATCATGGTGGACTCGTTAGACTCGCACCCGACCGGATTGGAAGCTGGATTGGGTCAACGTGTCCATGTTTCCGTCGATGGTCACGGCCGAAATCCGCTGCGAAGCTCCCAACCGCCGGCTGTACACGTTTGACGGGGTCGTGAAGATCAAGGTACAGTTGTCCTTATTTCCGTCATATGTACTCATTGTCGTGTGTGTAGCAAGAGGGGCGACTGGCGTGGGAAGTGCCTCTCACGATCACAAACATCGTGCTGAGAGGCATGAAGTTGAGCCACACGACGTACGTGGAGGGCGTGGTGGTCGCGTCGGGGGCAGAAACCAAATTGATTCAAAACACTAAACAGGTTCCAGGACTACAGTCTCGGTCAAAGGAACTCAGTTGGTCATAACTGTTGTGGTCGTAGTCGCCGTCCAAGTTTTCACGACTTGACGTGATTGCGAACCGGTGCATCCTAGTGATTTTCTCCGTGTTGTGCATCGTGTGCTGTGTGTCGACTGCGTGGAGCACGTGGCGAAGTACCATGTACTTTAACCGCGTGGGCAGTAAAATGACCACTGCGTTTGGCAACACCACCAACTGGAGCTATCTGTGGGACCAAGACATCCCGTCGACGTTTATCACGTTCTTGATCTTGTACAACAACTTGGTACGCCTTGAGAATCTATTTTTTTTTACCTCAGTGATGATACATATATATATATTATGGTGCACCTTATCGCAGGTGCCCATTTCGCTATACATCAGCTTGGAAGTAGTCAAGTGGTATCAAGCCAAGCAGATCGAATCGGATCCTGAAATGGTAGGTTGCTTTGTGTCCAGCAGATATATGTTTATTGGTAAATACTCTTCGGACATAGTTGGACCCTATGACTGGCCGATCTGTCCAAGCGCGAACGTCCAACTTGAACGAAGATGTGGGCCAAATCCGGTACCTCTTCAGCGACAAGACTGGTATGATCTCCATGTTCAACGGGTACCCCCCCTTCATTCCCCCATTGCAAACATTGCATAGGCACGATTACCAAGAACGAAATGGTGCTCAAACTCATCAGCCTCGGCCACGTTGTGTACGACAACATCCCCGTGGTACACAGCGACTAGGATTCGCGCGGTCTGACTTGTTAACACTAGAGAGACAAACGAATCGACTCGTCGCCTTCGCTCCACCGCGACGCCCCCGTCGACCAAGTGGACCGCATCACCACCCGCCTACGCGCGTACTCGGCCAATGTGATGCCGTACAGCATGCTCACACAGCATGGAACGTACCCGGACCACGGCGCGGGCTGCGACGCGGTACGTGCCGTGCCTTTGCAGCATTGAGATATTGATTTCGGTTAGACGACTGTGATGGACGACACGGGCGACCTGTCGCGAGGGGTGCTGGTGCAGACGTTCTTTCGATGCGTGCTCCTGTGTCACACTGCGACATTGTCCCCAGAGAACGCCATTCGCGCGTCGTCGCCCGACGAAACCGCTTTGTTGCGGGGTGCCGTGGAGCTCAACTGCGTACTCAAAGGCCGCACGACGACCACGATGGACATCAGGTGGGTTGGGGCGTTGGGGGTTGCATGTGTTGCAACACTGACATGAATATGATGTGTGTTTTTCGCAGTCTGTTTGGCAGACCTGAGAGCTACGAGATCCTGGCGCTCAACGAATTCGACAGCACGCGCAAGTGCATGTCTATTGTCGTGCGCCAACTCACGGCGACGTGCCAGGAATCCATTACCAAAGATGATGGTGCGTGTGTGTGTTTACACTCACTGAAATAACGCGTCTTTGCCTGGGGTAGTGCTGTGGGTATTTTGCAAAGGCGCAGACACGACCATGATGGCATCGGGCGACCACAGACACCACACGGCCAAAGTTCCCACGAGGGACTCGATCACAAGTCACTTGCACTACTTTGCGTCCATGGGCCTGCGGACGCTAGTCTTTGGGTGCGTTCGTGAGCCTCATGTCGAACCCTCCGTCGCGTCTGACCATCTAGGCACAAACCTAGGTACAAGCGCATCACGCTGGCCGAATTCATGGCGTGGTCGGCAGCGTACGCCAAGGCCAAGACGTCGCTGGTCGATCGCGAGTCCAAGCTCATCGAGTGCGCGCGCAGCATGGAGACGCGGCTGACGCTGCTGGGGGCCACGGGCGTCGAAGATCAGCTGCAGGACGGCGTGACCGAGTGTATCGAGACCCTCAGTGCCGCGGGGTACATACACACACGTCCATCCATGCGATGTATGCAATGACTAGTAATTCGTGTTGTGTGCCAGCATCAACATTTGGATGCTGACCGGGGACAAGGACGAAACGGCCATCTCGATCGCCAATTCGTGCGGGTTACTCTCGGACCAGTCGCAGTTGGTCGTGCTCAACGAAACGTCGCAGCAAGGGTGCTTGTACCAACTGACAAATATCCGCAAGCAGCTGCGCAAACAAGGCACGTATTCTACCCTCCATCAAACATGACATGGTTGTGGTGGCGTAGGGTTGTGGAAGCCAGACGTGCCGTCGCGCGAAATTGCGCTCGTGATCAACGGCGACGCGCTCGAGTGCCTCATGAACGAAACGAGGCCGGAAGCGGACAACGACGAAAAAGTGTCCACCGGCCGATTTGCCGACCCCAACGAAAGCACGCACTCGGTTCTGGGGGTGGACGAGTCGAACCATGCCCTAGGGTACCGCGACTCGAGCTTTCAGCGCACAAGACCAACCATCAAGGGGTTGCAAGACACGCACTCCAACTCGGACGACAACGACGCGGCGCTCGCGCTCTTTATGCAGCTGGTCACGCAGTGCTGCTCGGTGATTGCGTGTCGACTGTCCCCAATCCACAAAGCGCAGATTATCGCGCTCATCAAACGAAGGTACAGACTTGCAACTGGCTTCCCGTGCTGCCACGTCATACGCTTTGGTGTGTTGATGGGTCTTTGTTTTGTTGGCCCAGTAAATCCCGCCCGGTGACCATGGCCGTGGGGGATGGCGGCAACGACGTCAGCATGATCCAGGAAGCGCACATTGGCGTCGGCATCTTTGGCCATGAAGGTAACTATGCGTTGCGGTCGGGATATTAAGAGCGTCACGGTTTTAACACACTGTCACAGGCATGCAAGCGGTGCGCAGTGCCGACTTTGCGATCGGCCAGTTTCGGTTTCTGTCGCGGCTCATCTTGGCGCACGGGCGGTGGAACTACCGCCGTGTGTCGATAGTGATTTTGTTTTCGTTTTACAAAAATATGACACTCGTCATGACGCTGTTCATGTACTCGTTTTTGAACGGGTACTCTGGCCAGACCATGTACGAGTCGTACTTGATTGTGGGGTGGAACGTCCTGTACACGCTGTTCCCCATCCTCGTACTCGGTACAGTTGTCCACCAATACACAGGTTTCATTACCCCCACTTGGTTCAGGCATTATCGACGAAGACATTAGCTCCAACACGGTGCTCAAGTACCCGTTTATCTTTCGCAACAACCAGATGGGCCAAGAGCTTAACCTGTCCAAAATGCGCATGTGGGTCGGCAAAGCTCTGTGGCATTCGTTTCTGGTGTTTTCCCTCGGCACGTTTTTAACGTACGTCCCAGCCATTATTCGGTTATGCGTCGTTGTATGAGTGAGCAATATGAACCTTGACTCGCGGCCAGGTACAATGCGTTCGGATCGTATTCCATGGCCGACTCGAGCATCTTTTTGTACGGCACGGCTGTCTATGGCATCCTCGTGGTCACTGTGAGCCTCAAAGCCGCCCTGATCATGCAGCGCCTTCATCGGTGGACGCGGTACCATTACTTTGCCATCGTCGGGGGACCTGTCTCGTACTTGGCGTTTGTGCTGTCGTACTCGGAGGTACCGACAAACAAACAGCTTATCCATTGAATCAAGAGCGTCATGCCAAGATCGTCACGCGATTTCTTTTTCGTAGGCGTATGGAATCGTGCGGCTGACAACATTCAGCGACTTTTACGGCCTTGGCAGCGTGATATTTGGGGGCGCGGCGTTTTGGATTACGATCTGCCTCGTGGGGTTCACGTCCATCGTCGCAGACGTTGTCGGCATGTACATTTCCCGCATGTACTTGCCCACGAACCAAGACATTATCGAAGAAATCGACTCGCACTTGGACGATCCATGTGACGACGTTGCCACGGTTGCCACCACAGCAAGCAGATCCAAAACTGGGAGTGTCGTAATGGTGAACATGAAGCAGGTCAAGATCGAGGAGGTAGCTCAACGCAAGATCCTGTCGCCGGGCGTCGGCGGCGTGCGAAAGGACTTGGGCTTTCTCACCGAGCACGAAGAGCTGTGTCGGAAGCTCATGCGACAGGAGCGCGCCATCTCCCGGGAAGTGGGTGTCCACCGCCAAGAGGTGTTTGACGTGGGCATCTCGTCGACGTCGCAGATCTCACTGCATCCGATCACAGTCGAGTTTATGGGCGAAGATCACGACGTGCTCGAAGCGGGTTACACCAAACTGTTTGTGGCTCGGTACGTATGCGACTACTATATCTCGGTATATAGTCTCGTCTCGGAACGGGGCACTCTCGTGATATATACATGTATGTATCGTAGGGAGGTGCGGCGTATTCACGTGTTGGTAGCCATGTTCCTCTTCCTCTTGCCGTTTTATGCCGTGGTCGAGTACTACTGGGAAAAAGATCAGTCGCGGTACTTGATTCGCGTTGGCATGTTTTGTGGCACGCTCATGTACTTGACGTTTCTGCACTCGCGGTTCTTCTTGTCGCATTATCAATTGGCGGTATGGCCTACAAATATATATATATATTATAACCATGCTATATATATATATATATATATATATATTGTTTGTTTGACAATATATATGGTAGATCTTGGTGCCGATGGCCATGGGGGGCATTGCATTCACCCAAGCAATCGAGTACACGGGGCTGCTGCTCGTGACGATCTTTACGATTTTGCTGTTTTCAGTCGTCCGGGTCAAAGTGGTGTATGCGATCTGTCTCGCCGTGTTCAACTTGCTCTACTTTGATTTGTCGCCGCGGCTGGGCTTTCGGAGTAGCACCAAATCGAGCGAGACCACAGCCACGGAGATTGTGCTTTTCCTGGTGTTTATGGTACGCCAGCTACTAACTACTATATGATCAAGTGGATTTTTCACGATATATCTATCTGGAATTGTTTCTAGATGTTCCTCATTGCATGCTCGGCGTTTGGGTCGTACATTTTGCAAGTGTCGATGCGCACGGACTTTGTGCAGAACCGCATATTGGTCTACGAAGAGCGGCGCAGTCGCGAGATCCTGAGCAACATGCTGCCGGAACACATTGTCCGCCGCATGCAAAACGGCGAGAAGCTCATCTCGGAAGAAGAGAAGGACGTGACCATCCTCTTTTGTGACATCGCCGACTTCTCGTCGCTCATCAAGCGGTACTCGCCTACGGAGATGGTCATGCTTCTCGACCGCATCTACTCGTTGTTCGACGCCATGTGTGCCAAGCATGGCATGCGCAAGATGGAAACGGTCGGCAAGACGTACCTGGCGTGCGCGGGGCTTCAGGGCAGCGTCAAGGGCAAGGAGGCGGCGCTGCGGGCGGCGGGCGTCGCGCAAGACATGATGGTACGTAGTTCGTTCTCGAGCATTAGACTTTTTTGGACTATGTCGTTCATTCGTTCGTAGGCGGCAATCTCTAGAGTCAAAGCGAGTAATGGCAACGGTCTGAAGATTCGCATTGGCATTCACAGCGGGCGCGTCATCAGCGGGTTGGTCGGTATGAAAAAGCAGCAATTTTCGCTCTTTGGGGACACGATCAACACGGCGTCACGGATGCAAAGCACGGGTGTGACGGGGCGCATTCAAGTATCCCAGGTAATACCAACAGTCACTCGGTATTGTACAATCAATGGGAGTTAGGTCACGTACGACTACCTGTGTCACGACTTCCGGTTTGAACCCCGCACAGTGGAGGCCAAGGGAAAAGGCACGCTGACGGCGTACTTGATGGGCAAGTCCGCGACCGTGCTGGGGGATCGAGCAATGCGCGGTCATTGGGACGCGTTCCCCGACCCAAGAACAGCGTCACAGTCCCGTCAGGCCCTCCGCGCCACCTTCGAAATGATGATGTAAGGGCGATGGAGTTTGAACTGCCTTGACGTTGTACATGACATGTAGCATCTACCACATACGCGAGTGGCTGCGGCGGCTATTTGCGCCGACCAACCGCATCGAAGTGATGGCGAGCACGGTGGAGAACACGGAGATGAGTATGCCCACGCGAATGCGCCTGCAAGGCATCCATACAGAGCTGAGCATGGAGATCGATCCTATCTGGCTGTTCTTCGTCAAGCCCGAGCTTGAGCTCGCGTATCGCAAGGCGCGGTGCTTTATCCGTCAAAACGGGTTTGTTATGGCTAATGACATACAGTTGACGGTCACGTTAAACGTAGGGCGAGACGCACGATGATCATGCTGGCGATATATTTGGCGTACACGATTCTGCGCGACCTCGTGCACGATATGAGCGTGGACAACACCGGCGTGCTCCAAAACAACGCGACTATATGCGACCACTCGTGCAAATCGGCCATGTACGACCTATTGTGGATGGAGAGATATCCCATAAATGGATGGTAGCTACGCCTCGACGGCCATTCGCGGGTTCTTGATTGGGTATGCAGGCTGGTTTGAGTACTCCAACTTTTATGCGCGACGAGCGGTGGACCAGCCGTGGCTCACGGACGCACTCAAAGCGTTCATTCGACCCGTCCACGCTACGATTTTCGTGTACTACATTGTCACGTCTGTGATACTGGTCACGCCCAACATTTTTCGGTGACCAACTAACCCGATCCCTAGACTCGGTCTATAACGTGAACCTGTAGGTGGGCAAACGAGCAGCAGAGCATCTTGTACTCGTACATTTCCATGGACATCATCATGCCCATGTTCCTCGTCTCGAGCGGCGGCTCCCTCCTCAATAAATTCACGTCCTACTTCAATGGGCTGCTCATGGCGCTCAGCACCATCATTTACCTCGTACGGCGTCTGTGCTAGTAGTACTAATAGTATGCTCAAGACGTGTGTTGAATAGTATGCGTACAACCAGGCGCTGCCAGACCACTCGAAAGTCGAAGGCCTCAAAGTGTACCCCACGGCCTTGACGTTGTTTGTGGGGCTGTTCAGCACCATGGCCCGCCGCGACATCGAGTTTTTCTGTCGGCGAAAGTACTGGTTCCAAGCGCGCGCGCAAATGGAAACCAAAAAAGCCGACCGGTTGCTGTACAAGATGCTGCCGCAGTCCGTCGTGAACCAGCTGAAAGAAGGCGAGTTAGTGTGTGACCAGCACCACCACGTACGTCCGTTCGATGGTTCGACATCGTTTGTTCGTTGGAGAGCAACCGTGTCACACACTCCCTCATTCAATTGTCAGGTGGGCATCTTGTTTTCAGACATCAAGGGGTTTACGTCCATTGCTGCGCGGGCAGACACGGATATAGTCGTCCATTTGCTGGACTCGCTCTTTTCCGCATTTGATGTGCTCACCGAGAAGCACGGTACGATATGGATGGCACCAGGGTGTTAGTATGAAGAATGGTGCATTGCTCACAATGCAGTATTGTCATGGACAGGGGTGTTTAAGATGCAAACCATTGGCGACGCTTACGTGATCGTGTCGGGGCTTCCGTACGTCGACATGAGCTCCAAGGAGCTCAACCACTTGACCGAACCCAACGCTGACGAGTTGGTCACGTCGCACGAAGCTGGGCTACAGTCCATCCACCACAAACCCGGCACCCCTTCGTCGACTGTCAAACCGCATTCGTCCGGATCTTTCCGTCACCTCGAGTCGCTGCCGCCGCGGCTGCATATTCGCAATCTCATCCGCATGGCCACTGACATGCAGCGGGAAGTGGCCAAGGTGATGGACCCCAACAGCGGCGAGCCGTTGCAAATGCGCATTGGCATCCACATCGGCAGCATCATTGCCGGCGTCATTGGCACGTCGACGCTCCGGTACGACATGTGGGGGCCAGACGTGCTCACGGCCAACGAGATGGAGACCAGCGGTGTGCCTGGTCGAATCCTCGTGTCCAGTGCCGTGAAGAACGTGGTGCGTCATCATATTGTTTATGCTTCAAAGTGGTCACAACATGTCCATCAGGCTGAAGATTGCCCTGACCTCCGCTTCACGTTCCATAAGTCGATAGACTTTACCGGAATCGCGAAAATGGACACGTACATTGCCGATTTCATAGACGACAAGGTCGAGGTACCGCCGCCTCATCTGAATATACTTGTTGGATTGGACGTAACTTCTTTCGTTGTTATAGAAACACAACTTACCCGTGGAAAACAAGCTCCACGAGAAACCACCGTTGCCGTCGGATGGATCCACTAAAGTCCTTGCTCCTTCGACTACATTCGAAAAGGCCAGCTAATGGACACTTCATTCGAAAAGGCCAGCTAACGTTAATAGACACTTCATTCTTATTGAGGTGTTCAACGAGTACTAAAAATAGACACCGTGTCAATGCAGAGTATTATGTTGTGAGGGGACCGCTAAAGCTTATCGAAACTGGGACATCCAATCGAATTTGCTTTTATCCGGAATACCGGATAAACCGTGGCGCTTTGTTGCATCGTCCTTGGTGTTTGAATGGATATCCAATCTTGAACACAAGATGGGAGCGAAGTCGAAGCACAACAAGCCTGCGGCAAAGCAGGCACCAACTGCCAAACCTTCCAAAGGACCTAGCGGGACTAAGCACACCACCGGTGGTCGAAAGGATACCGTAGCCACCAATGCAAAGCCGCAGCATGGCACCAAGCCTCAGGGGACCAGCAAGTCTACCACCAATTCCACGCCTCAACAACGTAACAAGCCTCAAGGTGGCGGCAACGCCTCCCATGGAGCAAAGCCGCATTTTGGCAACAAGGTACAGGGCGGTGGCAAGCCATACCAGTACAACAAGTCGAATGACCGACGAGATGGAGGCAAGAAGGACTTTTCAAAGTTCGGCAAGACACAGCCGCAACAGGACAAGAAGCCGTACGTCAAACCGACGGAGGAGGAGGCCGTGAAGCCCAATGAGAAGCTCATTTCCATGTTGAAGTCGATGAAAGACCAGTCGGTGGCGTGGCACGAGGCGGTCAAGGCGCTTCCGAACGAATCGAAAGACGTGGTCAAGCACAAAGCGAGCGACCCTATCGTGGACGAAAAGAAGCGGCTGGCGGAGCGCCTTATGGAAGCCGAATTGAAAGCGGCCGACTCCAAAGGCAGTACGTTTCTCACATGTCTTGTCCGCTATATCAACCGCGAGTGTAGGTTTGTCGAGCGACGAAAAGTATCTCAAGACGATGATCAAGTCGGGTACGTTGGCCGATCGAATCGCCGCCACGACCTTGTCGATCCAGGTATCATAGCGATGTGTTTACTAGCTAGCTAGCTAGCTATGGACTGTGTGTGTATGCTCACGTACCAAGGGTAGGCGTCGCCCGTGCACAACCTCGCCCGGTTGAGCCAACTCGTGACGATGGCCAAGAACAAAGGCCGCCGCGAAGCGCAGATGGCCATCGATTCGCTCAAGGATCTGTTCCTGACCAACCTGCTGCCGGACCGCAAGCTCTTGTTCTTCCACCAGCGGCCCATCCATCGAACAGACGCGACGCAGGCGCACGTGGTGATTTGGTACTTTGAGCACTGCGTCAAGGTCGCGTACGCCCAGCTCATCGCCGCGCTCGCGTCCGGCATGGACGACGCCATCGAAGCCCACAAGCGCGCATGCATCCGCGCCGTGATCGCGCTCCTCACCGACAAACCCGAGCAGGAAAACGTGTTACTGACCATGCTTGTCAACAAGCTCGGTGACCCGGACCGCAAGGTCGCGTCGTTTGTGCTCCATCAGTTGCAAGAGTTGCTCAAGGTGCACCCCGTGATGAAACGGGTGGTTGTGGACGACGTCGAGCGACTGCTCACTCGTGCCAAGGTACGTGCAAACAAGCGGAAATGAACATGACTATAATGGAATGGCGTGGGTAGGTGACGGAGCGAACCAAGTACAACGCGGTGCTGTTTTTGAACCAAATGTACCTAAGTGCTAGCGACGCCGACCTCGCCACCCACTTGATCAAAGTGTACTTTGGATTATTTTCCAAAGAGGTTCACCGAGACCAAGGCAAGGCTGACACGGGCCTCGAGCGCAAGCTGCTTAGCGCGTTGCTCGTGGGCGTGAACCGGTCGTTTCCGTATGCGAAATGCACGTCTGCCGACTTTCAGGACGAGATCGACACCATGTTCCGCGTCGTGCACACGGTACGAATAAACAAACGGCCGAGCGAGCGACGTGTCGTCGTCTGTACGAACCAGCGGATGGTCCTCACGTATATATTTGTTTGGCACTACTAGGCCCACTTTAGCACGAGTGTGCAAGCACTCATGCTGTTGTTCCAAGTCATGAGCTCCACCAATTCGGTGCCCGATCGCTTCTACTCTGCGCTGTACACCAAGCTGTTTGACCCCAAGGTGCTTAACTTATCTGTATCTTTATTTTCTATTAAAATGCTGACAAGTGTTGCTGTGTTTGAATCAGATGCACACGACGTCCAAGCACACGCTATTCCTCAACCTGCTCTTCCGCGCCATCAAGCAAGACGTGTCCCCTGCCCGCGTCCATGCCATGATCAAGCGCCTGCTGCAAGTGTCGCTCACGATGCCGCCGGCGTTTTGCTGCGCCGCGCTGTTCCTCGTTTCTGAATTGCTTCAACACAACAAGAGTTTCCGTGCGCTGATTGACCAGCCCGAGCACGACCTCACCCAAGATCAAGTGCCGCCATCCAACAACAAGAAGGACGACGACACTGTCGAGTCGTCCGCGGAAGATGAAGACGCCTCCGACGACCAAGCGTTGGAAGCCCCCGTACCCGCCGAGGAGGACGAGGGCGAAGCGGACTTGGAAGCCGAGCGCAAGCGCAGCGCGGCCTTATTGAAGTCGATGGGGCTGGACGTTGCCCCCGACGACGACCGCCGGTCGGCTGTCAAGCGTGTCAGTGGGGGGGTAGTCGTCGTCACCCCGTACGACCCGCGAAAGCGCAACCCCCTGTACGCAGGAGCGGAAACCTCGTGCTTGTGGGAACTGCAGCCGTTCCTGGTGCACTATCATCCGTCCGTCGCGCAGTTCGCCAAGCAGCTGGTGGACGGCGCGATTTCGTACAAGGGCGACCCGCTCAACGACTTTACGCTGTCTGTATTTTTCGACAAGTTTGTCAACAAGAAGCCCAAGTCCAAGGACGGTCCGCATCGGTACAGCCACGGCGGGGGTCGCGGCGACGACGGCGACGACAAGCACGCCGTCGTGGGGGTCCATTCGGAGCACTTTTTGGCGCAGGACGAGGCCGCGGTCGCGGACACGGACCGCTTCTTTTACACGTTTTTCAAAGAACGCGCCAAGCGAGTGCCAGCGAAACCGACCAAGAAAAAGGACGACTTGACGGGCGACGCGCTGGCTTCCGATGAGGAGGACGAAGAGTACGAAGCGTTTGCAAACCAGTTGGCCGAGAGCATCATGGAGGACAACGACGACGAAGATCCAGACATGGACGACTGGAGTGGTGACGAAAGCGGTGACAACGAGGATGGTGACGACGACGACGATGGTGACGACGACGATGATGGTGACGGCGCTGAAATGAACGACGAAGACATGATGTTTGACGACGATGAGGACCTGGATGACGACGATGACAATGAGGTGCAATTTGGTGACGATGACGAAGAATCGGCCGCGCCACCGCCGTCCGTGAGCAAAGGAAAGAAAAAGGCAAGTGACAAACGCAAGTCGCCATTTGCTGACGCAGACGAGTACTTGGAAGCCATTGAACGGGGTGAGCGGGACGACCAGGCGGCGCAACAGACGCCGACCCCCAAGCGCCGCCCGTTGAAAAAGCGAAAATAGACATTTACGCAACGACTACTTTAGTACTAGTACTAGCTAGATGATATATGCATGTTCCTAATCCTATTGTTTCTCCTTCGATTGACGAATCCGACTAGTACATGATATGACTTTGCCCTACTTGAAGGGATAGATTAATTGATGAGGCGCACGGTGGTTTCGGCGATGCTCTTTTCTTCGTCGGTGGGAATGACCAAGATGGGAATGGGCGACCCCTGGACGTGGATCTCGCGCACGCCAGACGTCGGACCTGGAACGTTCTTGGACGTGTCCACTTGGATGCCGACATGGGCCAAGTTGGCGCAAATGCGCTCGCGGAGGACGGAAGACTGCTCGCCAATGCCCGCTGTGAACACGATCGCATCCACTTTCGGGTACAGCTGGAGCACGTACGCCCCCAGGTACTTGCGCACGCGGTGGGCAAACACCTAATGATGATCACGTCATATGATATAAAAACAATAAACAGTTCGTACGTCCAACGCCAAGTTGGCCTGGGCGTCGCCGGCCACGACGCGGTCTTGGATGGTGCGAACGTCCGACTCGCCGCACAGCCCCAAGAGCCCGCTCTTCTTGTTCAAGAGGGTGTCAATTTCAGAAATGGACAGCTTCGCATGCGAATGGAGAAACGGAATGATGGCGGGGTCAATGTCGCCGCTGCGGGAACCCATAATGAGTCCTTCCAGGGGTGTGAACCCCATGGACGTGTCGATGCATTTGCCGTCGCGGATCGCAGACATGCTCGAACCGTTGCCCAAGTGCAATGTGACCAGATTGCTCTTTTCCAATGGCTTGCCCAAGTGCTAATATAGATGCATGAGACAACAAACGGGACTACTACACTGGAAGCGGCGGGTGTACCGCAGCCGCTTGTTGCGCAACGTATTGGTGGCTCGTGCCGTGGAACCCATAGCGCCGGATGCCGTAGTCCTGGTAGAGCGAGTATGGGAGGCCGTACAAGTAGGCCGCGGGGGGCAGCGTCGAGTGGAACGCTGTGTCGAACACAGCCACGTGCTGGCAATCAAACAGTTCGTGCGCGACTTGAATCCCCAAAATGTTGGCGGGGTTGTGCAACGGGGCGATGTCGACGTTGTCTTCCAGCGCTTTGATCACGGCCTACGGCATGCTGTACATGAGAGGGGGGATACAAGAGGCGCACAACGCACGGGGGTGATGAGCGAGTGGTCGTGGAACGCTTCACCTCCATGCACCACGCGATGCCCAATGCCGTGGATTTCGTTCTTGTGCTTCAACCCGCCATGGGTGGAGTCCGTCAGCAAGTCGATGACGTACGAGAGGGCCGTCTTGTGGTCGGGAAGGGACACCGGGGGAAGCGACGCCTTGACGGTGGACGTCGGCGTGTACGTGGTGTGCTTGACTTGCTTCTGGCTCCCGAGCTCGACCATGCCGGAAATCAGCGGCGTCAGCGCGGTGCCGCTCTTCTCCGCGAACAACTTGTACTTGAGCGACGAACTGCCCGCGTTGAGCACCAAGATCTTGAGCTTGTCCATGTTGCTGCAAGATCAAAAGTGCCACCGATGTTGCAATGAAGATGCACAAAATTGCGGCGGGGACTTCCTTCGTGGTAAGCGCACGCGAGGGGTAGGGATAGGGGTCCCCCTACTCCCACCTATAAGTCTGGGGCTATAGTCCTGTCTGTCTGTAATCACTGCACATCACAGGGATCGTGGGATACACCCAGTAACGTTATTGCACGAACGTATCCGCACTACAGTAGTTATACCAAGGGAAGTCCATCCCACAAGCATTGGGGGGGACCGCACTAAGCTTCACTTTAACAGCTGTAAGTACTTCCTGTTAATTCTGAATCCGCACTAATCACGGTGCCGAGTTTTGTTTGGTATTTCGAATATTTCAGTCGTTTTTTCGTTTCCTATTGTGAAATCGCAATAAACTGCTGTAATTCGAAAGTTCTAATTGGCTGAATAGACTTGTCATTTCTGTAAGAGCCAATCAAATCCAATTAGTTTTGAGTATATTTATGCTCAAGAGGGTACTATTGTAATAACGTTACTATACTGTACCAAAATGGTATATGGCAGTATTAATACGTAGTATAAAACTAAATTTCGCCGGACACAGTAAGCAAACTCCAATAACGTTACTACTGTAGTAAATTACTTCGAAGTACTCAATATTGGATTCGTCAATAGCGTCGATTCGTGACTCGATTCGATGGCGTGATTCGATTCGACGGGGTCTGGTATTTTTACCGAATCCTCATACTCTGATGAACCCAACGAGTATCGATTTAAAAAATATTAACGATAACTGGCTTAGGATTTCAAAATTAGGTTTTGAAGTTAATGCCTTTTCACAGGTGATCGACTTATTTACTTGAGCTCACAGAAACTCTACCACAACCGACCCAACGGGACCACGACGTGGAGTGACATGCGGCACCATTTGTGTTGTCCAGTGTGCACTTTGAAATGGACATTGTGGACGTCCACTTCCACGAATGCATGGCCGACTGTGAATTCATAGGTTCTGCTACCTGTTTCCACAACATACAAATACGTACCATGTATAGCAAGGTTTATTCAATTTGACAGTGAATAGGTATCAGCTGTCATTTTACTAGTACAGTATTAATTGTCTAGAGGTTGGATTTTGGCTAATGAAAATGGATTGAGGTTTTGATTGGATAGATAAGCCGGCCTATCGAAGGTCATTCGGCCCATCAATCATCATTGGCCACGTTACTGTATGGTATTACTGTAGGGTGGCCTTGGTGCAGGTACTCTTATATATGTTCCTCCTCAGTGGCATTTTTTATAATTAACGGAATTCTGTTCATTGCACTTATATTTCATAGGACTGAGGCATTGTCGCCCAATAAAGAACGTTACCTGGATTCCATTATGCTTGAGGTGTTTCAAACGCTCGTCTAAAATATTATTTGAAATAAATTTGACTATTATTAGTGCCTTGAAGAACAGAAAAAGGCCCCCACCGTGTCTTTGTCGGGTTTTAAATTCGACAAAGTAGTGGCAAAAAAACGCACGGGTCGAATCTGAGTGTTCGATCGGATGTCACATCAGTTTACAACTAAATCTGTCGCGTCACAGTCGACGATGCTGCGCGTCCGTCCATTCCTGTCAAGCCGCAAGGCCGCTATCACGCTCCTTCCTCGCGCCACGACCTCGCGCTTCTTCACCGACGGTGCGCGCTTCCGTCCTGTCGAATCTTGGTGTCCTCCTCACTGACAATGTCTTGTAGACGCGACCAAAAAGAACGACCGGTTGCTCGTCATGACGAACGGCGGCGTCGCAAAACACTCGCACCTCCTCCTCGGTCTCATGAACAAATTGTCGTACACATTTCCGTCTGTGGGGTACTTTCGCCCTGTGGCGCCCAACTTTCACTCGACCCACGGGGACCACCACGTGGATCTCATCCGCAGCGAGTTCAAGATCAAGGATGAGCCGTACCAACTGGTGGGCATGACGCAAGCCGACATCACCCACGCACACCTCGAAGGCGACACGGACTCTGTGATTGACACGATGCTGTCGAAATTCGAATACTTGCGCGAGAAGCACGACTTTGTCGTGATGGAAGGCGCGGTGCTGGACACGTCCCCCGAACTGTCTTGGGAGCTCAACGTGGACATCGCCAAGTCGTTGAACGCCCCCGTCCTCTTGACAGTGGATGCCGACGACTTGACTGTGGACCCGGCCCTCCACTGGACCGCCGCCGAGTCCGTGGCGTGGCTCGCAGACCAAATCACCACACGCGTGCTGCTAGCCAAGGACATGGCACACGCAGAAGGGCTGACACATGTGGGCACGATTGTCAATCGCGTAAAGACGGATGACGCGCTCGAGTTGCGCGACTTGGTGCACGCGCAGATCAAGGCGCGGGGGTTCGACCCGACAAAGCTGCTGGGAATTTTGCCGTTGGACCCGGTGCTCAACTCGAAGCGATTGAACGAAGTGGTGGCCCAGCTCCACGCCAAGCAGCTGTACGGCAACCCCATGTCCAACTCGGTGGTCGTCACAGACGGCCTCATGGCCACGACCGAGCTCAAGGACTTATTCAAGCACATCAACAAGCACGACGACGGACTTCTCGTGATTGTCTCGTCTGAACGCACGGGTAATGTGGCTGACATACATCGATATACAATAATAGCTCATGCGTTCGTCGCGTGTAGACGTGATCCTCGGGCTCTTGGCCAGTCGCTTGTCGGGGGCGCTGCCGCAGATTTCTGGCATCATCTTGACCAACGGTGGCATCCCCCAGAACGAATGCCAAGACATTTTGATAGGCCGTACGTAGTCTTTTGGCCCGACAAGTGTTTGTGGCTTTCGTGGCAAACACGGCGTTCTGTGTAGTTGCTCAGATCGACAAGGCGTCGGTGCCAATCTACTCGGTCGAGTTGGATTCGTACAGGACGGCCATTGCATTAAGCAAAGTCACATGTGACATTTTGCCCACGAGTCAAAACAAGATCCAGCAAGCTTACATTTTGTACGTCCAAAATTGCATATTTTTTATTATTCATGTTGGGTTGCCTCGTCGAAAGCCAATTTAAACGGTGGAGGGTTCTGAAACGATGATTGGACGGCCATAGGTTTGACACGAACGTTGAAAGCGACGAGCTATTGAGCCATCTCATTGAACGGACCGGCGGCCACGGGCGCACCCCCAAGCAATTCAAGCACTTTCTCTTTGAAGCGGTATTTATTATATGTTGTTGTCGACGGCTTGTATATGGTGGTTTTGATTACAATCTGTGAACTAGTCTCGCAAAGCAGACCAGCACATTGTGCTCACGGAAGGCGAAGACGATCGTATTTTGCAGGCGGCGGACGAAGTGCTACGCCGCGGAATTGCGCGCCTGACCATCTTGGGTGACGTCGAGTCGATCAATGCACGCGCCAAGACCCTTCGCCTCGATCTGTCCCAGGCGACGCTGCTCGACCCGTCCAAGGCCGACAAACTGGCCACGTACGCAGACCATTACTTCGAAAAGCGAAAGTCCAAAGGCATCACCCCCGAGCTCGCCAAGGAAACCGTCGGCGAAGCGGTACCTCGTCAACATACTGTATCGAAAAACTCCAACTTTGATTCGTGTAGACGTACTTTGGGACGGTCATGGTGGACTTGGATGACGCGGATGGGATGGTGTCGGGCGTGTGCCACACCACCGCCAACACGATTCGCCCAGCGCTGCAGCTGATCAAGACGCGGCCAGACATTCCACTCGTGTCGAGCGTGTTCTTCATGTGTTTGGAGCACGACGTGGTGCTGTACGGCGACTGCGCCGTGAACACGGACCCCACTGCCCAACAACTGGCGCAAATTGCAGTGCAAAGTGCCGAGTCCGCTGTCGCGTTCGGCATTGAGCCTCGCGTGGCGCTGCTGTCGTATGCCACGGGCGACTCGAACAAGGGACCGATCATCGACAAAGGTATATATATATATATATACGATATATACGAAATTCCCATAACTAGAGTTTGTCGGCCAGTACTAACATGACGTCGACCACTAGTGCGGGAAGCCACCAAGTTGGCGCAAAGCATGGCCCCTGGGGTGTCCATCTACGGCCCCATCCAGTACGACGCCGCGACCAACCCGTCAATTGCCAAGCAAAAGGTCAAGGGTCTCAAGCAGTCCGAGGTACGAAAGATGCCACGTGAAGGAGGAAGGTGTCTCATATGATGTTGGCGCAGATGGAAGTGGCAGGACATGCCAACGTGCTCGTGTTCCCCGACTTGAACACGGGCAACAACACATACAAAGCGGTACGAGTGTGAAGCGAGGACATTTCAAATATGTGCTATTGTTCCTGTGATGACATTTCAAATATGTGAAATTAAATTCGTTTCGTAGGTCCAACAATCCACCGACTGCTTGGCCATTGGTCCCATGTTGCAAGGGCTGAATAAGCCCGTGAACGACTTGAGTCGAGGGGCCACCGTCGGCGACATTGTCACCACCGTCGCCCTCACGGCCATCCAAGCCAAGCAGAGCAAAAACTAATCGTTAATCGCCATACTCACAGTGGGCAAATACAAATTCTAATTTTCAATCATTTGGTCAACGTCTCGTAGAAACTTCCAACATTGATTTCACAAAACCGTCTGGCTGCTAACGCGAATTGGCCAGTTTATGGTGCACGGGACAGTTTAAGGTGCACTCAAATTGGCCAATGGAATTGCTTGAATTATAGAATAGCCAATCGAATCACTAGAAAAACAGAAAAAGAAGTAAAAATAGCATACATATCTTAAGGTTAAACCTCCTATTTTGCCTTGATTGACTGCAAAACGCTTGTGTCAAGCAAAGATCAGATTTGTTGAATTTGGCCCCAAAGTGGCGTAAAATGAGATGTAATTTCGACAGATCTGGTTGTGGTGATGAAATGTTACGTCGCTCAAAATCGAATTTGGCGGGGGATCGGCGCTGAATGCAACTGGCGTCGTAGCGGAAGGCGCCCGTGAGGTCGGGCCACAGACGTGGCTGACACTTGCTTCTTGAGAAGCGCCGCCGTGAGCTGAGCCGACGCGTGCTCTGCGATGATCATTGGTCGATTGGTCGTTGGGGCAGCGGCGGGATCTCTGCGAGTTGTTCCATGCCCTCGCTCCTGTTCATATTCATTCAGGCAACGACATGGTAGACTCGACCGTACCATGTCTCGGCAAACGCGCACAACGCTTCGCGGGCCGCCGCGCGAACAAAGTCTTTAGGATCTTGAATGGCGCCAGTGAGTAGGAGCAACAGATCGTCGCAGTGCTCGGCCAGTTCTGACTTGGGCCATTCTCTGACGACCGTCATCACCTGCTGCACGATGAGGCATCGAGCCTCACCTACAAACTAGGTGAGCAGTGTACATTTAAATATGAAGTCACTTTCTGGGCCGCGTTAGTACAGCGCTCAACAAAGCCCAAGTGTTTCGTCAAGCTGACAAAGATAAGATGCCTTATCAAGATTACAACCGTGTCGAAATACGATATCAAGATCCTTATATCCCT